TGTGTGTGTGTGTGTGTGTGTATGTAAACCTCATGTAACTTTTGATCCGCTTGGCCGATCGGATCGAAATCGGTGGCGATCCAAAGAGTATCATAGCCATTAAATTTCGTGAAAATTTGAATCGATTCGGTTCGCTAGATTTTTAGAAATAATCTCAAAAACAAAATTTTCGAAAAATGGTTTTTTTGGAATAACTTTTAAACGGCTTTACCGATCGATTCCAAAAACTAATCAGCTCTCAACCTTGAAAAACTACGTCGATCACCGTTGGACGGGTCAAAATCGGTTGATTCGTTCATGAGATATCGAAAACGAAAAATTTCAAAAAAAATATTTTTTTAAAAATCCTCTTAATTAAATGGCTTCACCGATCACTTTCAAAAACTAATCAGCTCTTAACCTTGAATAACCACGTCAATCACCGTTGAACCGATCAAAATCGGTTGATTCGTTCGTGAGATATCGAAAACGAAAAATTTCAAAAAAAAATATTTTTTATTAAACGTCTATCAGCCTTTTGAGCTCGAAGAGCTCAAAAACGTCATAAGTGCAATTTCAAGCGTTAAGGTATGGAGTTGGCGGGAAGTTGCAGGGATGGCCTTTAGGGTCAACCGTTTTCCAGATTTTTTTTTCTATTTTCTTCGTCTTTAAATATGTATTCATCAAAGATAACATGAGATGTTGTTCAATACTGTGCTTTTTCAAGATATCGATAGCAAAGTTTTGAAAGAAAAGAAATGTCTCAATACAAATTGTTCATATTAACACTGTTACATAGAGTGAATACTTCTCGGGTAAAAAACATTATGTACAATTAGGTATGGATGATTTATATGTAATTGTATAATATTCTATAACTTTTATTTTAATTCAGGTTTTCAATCCCATTTAAATACTTTTCAATTAGGGTTTCTTCTATTGATATTCTTATTATATATGTAACTATAATTTGTAATTTTACCACAAGGCTCTACCAACGTACTGGTGATCTAGAAAAAAATTATGTTAATTTTTAATGGATGCATAGTTAAAAAGTTTGTAAAAATCGATATAAATCCAACGTTTGGTTTTACTTTTTAAGGAAAAAAAAAAATTTTTTTTTAATTATAACTATTTATTATAGAAGACAATTGTTGGTATAAAAAGAATATTAAACAAACTTAAAATGTCGAATCCTTTTGAGCCTGATTCAGACATGGAATTTGATGACTTTGACGAAAGGCCTCAGCAAGTTCCTCAAAATAATCCCCCACACATTTATGATGAAGTACCACGAGAACCCATTTATGTTAATGTGCCACCAGAAAATGAAAATGCCCCCCCACGTGTCAATGAAAATAATGTACAACAAACTAATAGAGTAGAATCAAGTGGAATTAATAAAATAAATTCGATACAAAATTTAATCCATCAAATCTCGACTAAAATTAAGACATTGTGTGACAACGAATTAAATGATAAATATATAACATATTTAGAAAATTTAATGAATGATAATGCATCATTACTCATGAAAAAAGATAAGTTTAAAAAAATAGAGAGTACAATTAAAAAATTACAGAAACAACTAAAGAGCTTTCGTTCAACAGTAGTAAATGATTGCACTGATTTAATGATGATAGCCACTGAAATAGATTTGATAAAACGTCGATTTGATGATTTACAGAAAGATTATGAGCAACTGAAAAGAGATTTAGGGAGAACTCCGACAGACCAAAATAATTATATCAGTGAACCTTTTAAAAGCGGGCAATATTTGAGTATGTTGATTCAAATGCATGCCAAAGCCCAGAAAGTAATAAATTCTTACAATGATCGAGTTAACGAATACAACATATTCATCTCTAACTTCAATCAATTTATAAGTGAATTTAATCGTGGATATATTATTTATACATCGCCGGTTACTGACAAATATTACTCAATATTATTGACCGATATTGTAAAAGAAATTCTAGCAATAATAAGTCCGAACGCCGAAAACGTCGATGCTCTTGAGAGGAAACGTAGAGAAATATTTAAAATGTTTGAAACGACATATGATAATGATTTAGCTCGTTTAATTGCTGATTCAGCATTAGACGAAATAACGGGATTAGTGGAAGTAACTTAATAGTCGGGGCTTATAATTGATAGTAAATACAATTTATACTTTTTAAAAAAAATTTTATTGAATACTTCATATTTTTTAGAAGTGATAGAATGGTAATTGAGCTTAATATGTTTACGTATAATGAATATTTATAACTGTTATATCTCCGATCAAAAGTGTCCAGAGGCTTTGAGAGCCAAAATTAAAATAAATATTTCAAAAATTTTGTTTAATGTTTTAATATTGAAAATTTTTATCAGAGTTTTTTACTAGTTGCATTTAATTATTATTTATTTTTGCTATTCAAGAACATTAATGTGATTACCTGTTTCTCCAAGACATCCAAATTTCTTGGGGTTTTATTAGAGATTAATTTATCAAGTGCCTTACTGTGGCATTCCTATTACCAATCTTCCTTTCTTGGAATCTTTGATACACTGATGGAAAATGATTTCGGTCAAAAAAACTTATGTAAAAAAACGGATCAGTTGCTTCAAGAATTTCTATTCTTAACTATCGTTACTTTAGCTTAAGAGCCCTGATTAAAAAAAGAGATTTGAAAAGATTCGAAATGGCTCAAAGCGATTAAAAAAGATTCAACCCCGACAAATATATAGATATACATTTTGCATAGGTTGAGTCGTTTAAAAATTTTTTTTTAATAAGGGAGACCAAGATGTCTGATCGATAACTATTCGACGGTCTAATTAGCAATTGATCTAACTCCTTATGTTTTAGAAGGTGATTTTTTAACATTTTGATGTAGCAATAGTCTAATTATAAATTATTTGAATGATCCAAACCAAAATATTGTACCTCTATTAGATATAAAATTGTTTTTTAAAGTGATAATAAATTTTGAACTAATTCTTTTTTCGTACAAATGGAAGATTTTCTAAAATGGAGTTAGACAATTTGCTAATTAGAACGTCGTATTGCTATTTCAATTCAAAAAAATATTAATACAGGAAATTCTTTATTTAAAAACGATTTCTCGTAAACTAATAATAATTTTTTATTCTTCAAAGAATTTCATATTCTTGGTTCAAGAACTTGTTTTTTAAACCACAAAAAAATCTTGTCGCAAAACTAAATTTTCGCTTCAACATATTCTGGAAAGTATTAAAAAAAAATTTTTTTTTTAAGATATAAAAAATTACAGAAATTATATGATAGTATTCGATTTGCATATATATTCTTCCTTAATTTAAAACATTTTTTAAAAATTTTTAAGAGTTAAATTTATAAAAATTTATTATCTCTGAGTTGTCACTTAAAACTTCCTTGATGCCTTTCTTAATTCTTGATTGATTCAAATGTTGAAAATAATTTAAAATTACAACGTGCTCTAAATAGTACAATTAGATTTATTTACAATTTAAAACGAGATTTACATATAACGCCTTATAGACAACAATTATGTTGGTTGTCAGTAAAATCTAGAAGATTGTACTTGTTGGCAACTTACTTCTATAAATTGTTAACCATCGGTAAGCCTATTTATTTAAGAGAAATGTTCATCGATGATGATTCTAGGCGATCAGAAAGAATTGCAATTAAAAATAACAATGTAAAATTTTTTAATACCTAAGTTCACAACATCTTGCTTAGAACATTATTTTGTTATATCAGCAATACGGTTATAACAAAATCTTCCACCGGATGTTTTAGATGCGAGTTCTTTAGAAGTTTTCAAAAAAAATTTGTTTAACTACCTTTTGTCAAATGACTTATAGATTGATTAATATTTTTAAGTTTATGTGCAATGTTATGATATATTATTTTGTTTAGCTAGTAACTTACAAGATGTTAGTTAACTTTTACTTCAAATAAGAAATGGACTTATTTAAATCTCATTACAATTTAATCATAAATTATTACCAATTATACTTTTTAAATTTATAATATTGTTAAGCTTAATTCATTCTCATATAACTTTATAGTTTTTGTTTGTTATATTCTTACACATGTTAATTTCTTTTAACAATTGTATTATTTTGTATATTTTTAGTTCGACAAGAATGATTGTATTTCATACCTTGCCATTTGCCCTGTGCCTTGGCATTTATTATTAATAAATAAATAAATAAATAAACAAATTCTCTGATAATTTCCGGATTTCTGTCATCACCCTGTAAGCCTTTTAAAAAAATTGATAATATAATTTATGATGATTACAAATAAATAAATAATTTTCTAGTAAAAAAGTTTTCAATTTTTCCTTAATTTATATATGGAGGGTAGAAGTACTTCTACCCTCCATATTTAATACCAGCGATGTTAGAACAGAATGTCTATTTAATTTTTGACTGTAAAGTGTTGAATGAAGTAACCGCAAGAGGCGCCGCTGACACTACTTAGTGTTTATATCTTATGGTAAAAATTAAAAAACATGACTGAAGAGTTAGCTGAGTCATGACTTAAAAATCAAGATTAAAAAAATTTTAAATTAATAATTTTTATTTTTATTAATTAAATTTTTTGATGGTTAGTAAAAAAAATTTCGGAGAACTAGAAATTGTATATAATTTTATAATTTTAATCGACTGTCGATATAACAGTTTTCAATATCAATAATAAAAAAAATGGTCGTTGTTTTGCAATAAATACCCAATGACATTTGATTGAAAAAAATGATTCCGTGATATAAATTGCATCTGTCCATAAATATAAATATTTAAAATAAATTTATCAGAATAACATTTAATAAAGATCAATTGCTGATGTAATTAAAAGTTGGGTAATTTTGTAACTTAGTAAATATATATGTACCTATATATATATATATATGTCTATATATTTATGAGGATAAAAATAAAGATACATTACATATTACGTTGCGTGGTAACTCAGATACAATTGACACTTATAATAGATTTGTTTACAATGGTTTCACTGGTACCTAATAATGTTACAATTTTTTAAGAAAACAGGTAACTATAAATTATTAATAATAATAATAATAATAATAATAATAAATAAATTAAATTACAAAAATTTACTTTTATAAATTCTAATAAATACTAATAATAATACAATAACCTCAATTGAAATTAGGTAGAGACAAATTTAAATCTCAAAGCTCACCTGCCAAGTCAACGAGCTCTGAAAAGTCATTTGTTGATGGTTCGACGCTGACAAGAGGCTCGACATTGTCAACGTCAACATCATCATCGTCGATAGGAGCAACATCGTCTATTTTATCACGACCATTAGCGTCTCGTAGTCTAGAAGAAGAGGAAGCTGACGATGACGAAGAGATACGTGACAGTTTAAAAATAGAAATATCATCAGCACGCTCGCGGTTGTCCAAAACATTGAGCGAGATACTCGATGACAAAGATGCGCTTGGGTACTTCATGCAATTCATGGAGAGCCGAGGTAAATTGGCGCTAATTAAATTCTGGATGGAGGTTGAATTTGTCAGGGAAACAGCTGATGAGAATATTATTGTCAATATTATTAATTCAAATGATAATCTTACGGCTGATGACAATGATAATTGTCTGAAAGCCGGCTGTAATGGTGATAATAATGAGGATTGTAAAAATAAGGATAATAATGATTTTGAAAATAATCAACGACCAAAGACTAGGTTACTGTTAGATAATTCAATGAATTGTAAAAGTCATGATGGTGATAGTGAAGAAATGTCTAGTGTTTTTCAGGACGCCTTGAAAATTTATAATAGATATATTGTTAAGGATAATTTGAGATTAGGAGAGCTTACGGTTGAATTTAAAGCCCAAATTGAAGCCGCTGCGAGTAATTTAAATGCAGTTATGCTAATTAATGGGTTACTCTTGGCGCAAAAGATTGTTTATAAAGTTTTGGAAGATGAGTAAGTTACTTATTTATTATTATGATTGTTAATTGAGTTATTCATTATATTTATATTATTTTTTCAGGTATATTAATGATTTCTTACGAAGTGAATTTCATTGTAAGCATCAAATAGATGTTTTAACGAGTGGTGATGTTAAATTAGCTGATATATTGTTCAACGAAACAGCATTATTTTATTTTATGGAGGTAACAATTTATTTTTATCAATTAGATTTTTGTTGATTAATTTTCATTCAAATAAAAATGTTAAGGTTTTAGAACCTTTCATTTTTTAATCATCTGAGTATTCAAATCAGATGAATATAATGATACTGACGTTAGCTGACAACTGTCAATTTTCAAAATCAATTACAATAAAAAAAAATGCTTTAAAAAATTTCCACAAACAATGTTTTTTAATTTTTGCATGTAGAATTTTTTAATTAAATTTTTTTCATAATAATTTCATTGCTATAAAATAATAAAAAATTTGCAATGTCTGTCAACTTCAGGTTCATACGATTATATACGGGGTATTCCATGCCGAGTCAACCAGTTTTGAACCCGACCTCTTTAGATTTAGCTGCAACTTTTCTATTCTTTTCTACCCTTTGAAAGACATTAAATTTTTTAGACATCGACCTTTGGGTACCTTTTTTTTTTAATTTTTGCTTTTGAATGAATTCGAAAAAATAAAAAAAAATTAAATATCAATTGTATAAAATAATCGGTTTTTTTTTTTTTAGCAAAATCGTTATTTTTTCAAAGTTCGTCACTATTTTTTTTATTTAATTAAAAAAAAAAAAAATTGTCAAATTTTCTAAAATAAAAAAAATTTTTTTTGTTTCACAATTAAATAAAAAAAAATCAACCCTCTCCGGGATGAGCGAGAATAGTTGTCAAATTGATCGGTTTTTTTTTTAAGAAAAAAAATTAAAAAAAAAGTGACGATATCTTTGAAAAAATAACGATTTTGCTCAAAAAAACCGATTATTTTATAGAATTTATCACATTTAATTTTTTTTTTTGTATTTTTTCGAAAAGTTCATTCAAAAACAAAAATTTTTTAAAAAAAAGGTATCCAAAGATCAATGTCTAAAAAATTTATGGCTATTTGAAAATAAAAAAGCCATTTTTTTGAAAAATTCATAATTTTTTTTGGGTTGGATAAAAAAATTTGAAAAAATTCTCAAAAATGTCTTTTAACCCTTTAGAGTCAGAGGATCTTGAAACGTCTTCGCGTGAGAGTAGTGGGGAGAGCGCAAATCCATAGTAAGACCCAAGAGTGGGGTTTCAAGGTCAGACTCTAAAGGGTTAAACAATTAAATAAACTTGAAAAAAATTTTTTTCGATGTAAAATGTGACATATTACACAGAATGTAGATTAAATTAAAAATTTTTTCTTTTTTCGAAAAGTTCATTACAAAAACTAAAAAAGTTTTTTAAAAAAAAGGTATCCAAAGATCAATGTCTAAAAAATTTATGGCTATTTGAAAATAAAAAAGCCATTTTTTTGAAAAATTCATAATTTTTTTTGGGTTGGATAAAAAAATTTGAAAAAATTCTCAAAAATGTCTTTTAACCCTTTAGAGTCAGAGGATCTTGAAACGTCTTCGCGTGAGAGTAGTGGGGAGAGCGCAAATCCATAGTAAGACCCAAGAGTGGGGTTTCAAGGTCAGACTCTAAAGGGTTAAAGGGTAGAAGAGAATAGAAAAGGTTCAGCTAAATCTAAAGGGGTCGGATTCAAAAGTGGTCGATTTGGCATGGAATACTCTATACATACTCCAGATTAATATATTAAGATTATTATTTAGAAATTAATTTTTTTTGGATACATTTAAATCTGAAACAGATTTTTTTTTTTTTTCCTATCTAATATTCTTCGAGTTGTAATTGTTCGATAGAAACAGCTGTTAGTTTATGCTTGTCAGAATTGACATTTAAGATAAAGTTATAATCTGTTACGACTTGATAAAACTTGAATAGGATGAGTTTAAAATAAAATACACACTACTAAAACTTTACAAAAAAAAATATTTATTTAAAATATAAATTTAAAAAGCTAACAGATTTCAAATATTTTTTTAAAAAAATATGCATTTTTTGTGACTATTTATATAATCTAGGAAATTAAAATATATTTATATACACTCAAGTCTAAAGATAAATTTTCTCTTGAAAAAAAATTTTTATGAGTTGATAAATTTTTTTATCAATTTTCTGATATATATATATATATATATTTTTTTTAATGAAAACATTGCTTGTTTAAAAATATTTATTGAAAAAAATTAAAAAAATTCGCTCTATGCAAATAATATATCTATAGATATATACTGAAAAATTGAAATCATTTTAAATTATTGAAAAAAATTCAAATCTCATGATAGTAAATTTTTTTTCAATGAATATTTTTAAAAAGGGTTTAAATTAAACAAACTTTTAATTAATAAAATTATTTAGTTTATGGAAGTAGAGAACAAACGAGAGTTACTGGATTTCTGGATGTCTGCAGTGAATTACAAGCAAAATCTTTTGGCAAAAACGACTAGTGACCCAACGGAAGCCCAAGCTGACGCTCTCGTAATATATGAAAAGTAAGTACTCACTTTTCACAAAATTACTGATAAATAAATTGAAGGATCATCTAATAGCTAATTATTGAATTTAGGTATTTTAGTCTCCAAGCGACAATGCCTTTGGGTTTCACAGATAAAATAAGATTTGAAATAGAACAAAACATATGTCGCGAAGGCGATGATGGCCCACAACCAGATTGTTTCGACAAACCCAGTATAATTGTATATAATTTTTTAACAAAAGTAAGATGATTATTTTTATTTTTTTTTTCAATTGATGTCACGTATCATTTCACTATCATCGGAATAATTACTGGCACTAGTTATGAAAATAAAATAACAGAGGTGATAAACTTATCAGAATTTTATCATTGCAGCATTATCTACCTGCCTTCTTATCTTCCCAATTGTATTACAAATACTTATCAGAGTTAATCAGCGCGATTCAAAGCGGCGCTTGTGCTTCTCACTCCCATCAACGTTTGAAAAGAGCAGGTAATAATAATAATAATTATTATTAATCATTTCGTTGAAGTTAAAAACGACGCAAATAATTAATTAACGATAAAAAATATTTGCCTTTAATTTTTATCAACATGTAAGTCTCATTAATATGAATTGTAATTGTTTCAGAGTCTGACTGTAGCAGTGAAATAAGTATTTTTAGCCTAGGAATGCACGATACATCACAAATGAGTAATAATGAGGATGATAATCGTTCATCACGTGATAATAAAATAAATGGTAGTTTAAATATTGATACTCGGCAACTTTATGATCCCGATTCACTCTGGAAACGTCATAAGTACAGGTAATGGTTAAAGATTTTATGGTTTATTATTTATAATTTAAATCATCAATTTAATAGCCTAAACACATTTAAGACTAGTGCTTTTGAATTCTTCATGAAGCGTAAGCAAGACAATGAATCTTAATTTTAAACTATTGATATTCATTCATACATTTTTGTTACATGACTTTATAATCTTAATTTATCAACTTTTTGTATTTTACATCATTGAGTTTAACTCTTTAATTTGTGTATTCAAATTTATACTTCTCTTGTATTTATCATAATTACATTTCAAATTTAAGAAAAAAGATTTTTTCTGAACATCTAAAATTTTGAAATTTTATATCTTCATCATTCATACGTGTACTTTATTATAATTTTTCTGCCCTCCGGCCGGAAAGTGGCAACTTTCTGGCCGCTGCGCTAAACAAAGTTGCCACATTCCGGGTACGTCGAGCAGAAAAATAGTATACACACCTTGGCCAGTAAAAAGTAAAGCCTCAGACCACATGTTTGTCAACCTCGGCTTCGCCTCGGCCAACAATTACATGTGGTCTGAGACTTTTCTTATTTTACTGGCCTAGGTATGTAATATACTATTTTTGTATACTTTTTCCATTTAGCTTTACTGCCTTGGCATTGAAATTAAATAAATAAATTATTTACATTTTTTTAGTTTGAGTGTCGGATATGTTGATAGTATGGGACGATTCGTCACTGAGATAGAACGAGATCCTCATCGTAAATATGGTAGATTGATTATTATTATTATTATTATTTTGTTATAACTTTAAATAAAAATTATCGCTTTCCAGAATCTCGTTTATCACGAGCAGTCAAGAGACTCATCCACATGGAAGAAGATAAGGTAAAATTATATATTTACATTAATTATTGATCTTTACTGTCGTGTTCCATATACTCCCTGGCGGATTCGTGGTCACGGTAAAATGATCGTGAAAAGACGGTGAAAGCACCGTCAATTTACAGTGTAGACAAATTATCGTCGAATAACCTTGTCGAATGACCGTCGTTTGACAGTGAATGATGAGTATAGTTGTGAACGATTTTCACTGTTACTTTATGATTTTTATTCTGTATAGTTGTCATACTTCACTCTTCGAAAAACCAAATTTTCACTTGACTTTTCCGATTTTTTACCTAAGTAAAAATCGTAGATCATCGATCGATCGTCTGTCATTGCACGGTAGTTTGTAAGTGAAACGACCGTGAAACGAGCGTATAATGTCGGTAAGTCAGGAATGTTTTACTAGTCAACCATGAAAAAGTGCTGACAATATTTTATTTTTTTTTATTTCAGTAAAAATACTCAAAGTGTATAAAAAGATAGGTAAATGAGAAATTTTCAATAAATAATTGGGATGAAAAATTTGAAAAAAATATTAAATTATAGTATTTTTGTTTATTTCAAAGTAAAATCACAAAAAATTAATCAGACTATAGGCAATCAACAGAGATCCATCATTTCAATACTTTTCAGAAGAGTTTATGGCTTACAAGTGTTGAATTTTTTTCATAGTTTTAAATGAGAAACTATAATACTTTTTGATTGTGAAAAATATAATAATCAATATTGTTTTTTTTTTTTTTTTTGTAATCGGGAGATATTTTATTCAACAATTAATTAATAAATTATAATTTAATTTCAACTTAACTATAAACATATTTTCTGCACGTCAAATATTTTCACCGTAATTCAAAAATTTGAATCCATTATTAAAAATTTGAGTTTTTTTTTTTTTTAGAGACGAAAACTTTAATTACGAAATTACGGAAAAATTGTTTGTTATCAAGAAAAATTATTCTGAGATTTTTTAACAATTAAATTTTTAGCAATTTCTTTTTCAGATCTTTTTTTATACAGTTAATAATTTCACCGTAATTTCGAAATCAAGAATTTCGTAATCATAAAAAATTTTAATCATTTATTACGATTATTATTTTGAAGTCATGGAAAAAATATAACTTTATTTAAGCTATTTTTATCTGTACGATAAAAAAAATGACTGGGTTTCGACACCTTATCATGTCATTGAATCGATCTTACGTGCAATGTCGCAGATAGCCTAACTGGTAAAGATTCGGGCGCGCGACCAGATGAACTGGGTTCGAGTCCCGGTCTAGACTGTTCGAAGTATTTTTTTTTATTTTATTGTCCGTGACAGTAGCGTAAAATCACCGTATTTTGACAGTATATTGAGCGTACGGTGTCGGTCATAACATCGTAGATTCACTTGCGTTTGCACCGTATATATTCTGTTAATTCACAGTGAATATCGTTCACAACTGTATCCGATGCAGACTGACAACTCGCTCGGTAACAACGGACTTTATACGGTGAAACGACCGTGAAACAACCGTCAATCGACTGTGCTTTCACCGTGTCGCCGAAACCGCCAGGGCTTATATCATTATAAAATAAATCTTAGGGAAAAAAACAATCACTGACAGTTAGTTATTGAATTTTTACTTTTGGTAATTATTTACAAGTGGAATCAACCCTATTTTTGGCCATAACTAGGTGAAAAATTAACATTTTCAATTTTTTTTTATTCTGCTTGTTTTTACGGCGCATTTATGATAAAAAATGTTGTGAAAGGAAAAAATAAAGATTTCGATAGCTTTTTCGCCTTTACAAGTTTGAAAAAATTTTGGCTCATGGTTTTGGATAAAATTTCTATTTTATCTTTTTTTGATATATTTTTTTTTTGAAAAGTATAAAAAAACGAATAATTTAAAAAAAAAATTGATCAATTTGATAAAAAAAAAAAATACTGTGTGGTTTTATGAAACCACAATGCAAGTGAAACTTTTTTTGGATTGTTGACATTCAACTAAAAATTTTCGGACAATTAATCAGTTTAGAGTATTAAACTCGCATTTTTAATCCTAACGATAATTGGTAAATGAACACTGAAAAAAATTAACTTAATCTTAACTCTGATAAAATTGCGTCTTTAATTTGATCTATAAAACATTTACCGAATGATGATTTTATTAAGATTAAGAATTTCAATTTCTGCCAGTTTTTGATAGACGGGTTACATTAGTCCATGTAATAAAACTAACGGTGGTGTTTGATTAAAATTTAATTGTGATTTTTCACTAATAATTTAAGAATTTATTGTTTGATACAATGTTTTTAACGACATGCGATAGATAAACGAAAAATTTTGGGGCGATAGAAAAAAAGTTTCACTTTAAAAAAAAAAATTTAACATGGGCTAGATGGATTGACCCCACTTGTAAATAATTATCTTACTTTTAAATTAAGTTTGTTTATGTATTTATTATTATTTATATTAATAATTATAACTTTATCTTACCGATAGTTGTACTTATTCCCTATGATTTATTGTTGTTATTATTATAAAAAATTAATTGATAATTTAAACAAATAGGCTAAAGAAGAATTAGCGTGGAAAATAGCAGAGATGATTGTACGTGAGATAACGTCGCTTACTTTGGGTGTACCAGAACTTCCATCTTGAATTTTATTTATTTATTTTTTATGTAAAGTATAAAATCTTGATTTACTAAGATTATTTGCTGCCGTTACTGAAAAAAAAAAAAAAAAAAAAAAAACGAGACTTCTCGTGCCAAAATCTGTTTAATTTACATATAAATTTTACGTTCTATTTAACTGAGATTACTGCATAGTATTTTTTGATATTTTTAAAACTTTTTATTGTTATTATTATTATTATTTTAATTATCATTACTTTACGTTCAGGATTATTTGATAATTATAATAGACTTGTAAAGTTTTTATTCCATTAGTGGCATTATTATTTTAAATAAAAATATTTTTTACTAAAAATTCTTCCAATAATATCATCCATGACTTTGATAAGATTTTTTTCTCTTTTATGATTACTGAGAAATGTAAATAATTTTTTGTGCGATTTATTGTCATTTTATTATCAATAGTTATTAGAAAAAAATTTATATATAAATGTATTGATAATTATAATTAATATCTTATAAAACGAGTATTGTATTCAATTAGATAAATAAGAGAAACTATTTTTTAAATCAGGAAAAAAATCCGAAGGTGCTAAACATCCAATTTGATAGAATGTTAATTAAAAAAATCTGATTCACTTGAGTAATAGAATTGAAAATTCACTGAAAATTTAACAATTATTGTCTCATGTGTATAAGAATGACTGCGTTGTATAAAGAATGGTCTACGTACCTGTATAATAAATAAAATAAATAGATAATAAAATTATAAATTACATCAACAGTTTAAATACAATGTATAAAAATTATTTTTTGATTTTAACTTAATTAAGAAATAATAAAATCAGTCTTATAATTTTCATAGAGATGACGAGCCGTTTATACTCGTGTGCGGTGTACAGCACTCATATTGCGGTGTCAACAATGGTGATACTTCATTTAATTCATTGTTGTTATATTTACCAGTTGTCACCAATTGACCCAACTTTTTCCACCATGAAAAAAATCGCTCTCGTTTACCCCATCGCTGATAAACCATTGCATTGAAAAACGCTTGTAGCGGGTTTGTTGCGGCCTAAAATATTAATATTTTTGTAAAAATTATTTTTAAAAATTTTTTAGTAATAATTATTTTATAAAATATTTTTCTAATGATTATTTTATAAAATATTTTTGTAATGATTATTTTATAAAATATTTTTGTAATAATTATTTTATAAAATATTTTCAAGCCAAATTGAGAAATTAAGTAGCTTTTTATTTCCAATCATATAACTCATATAGATGGTCTAATTAGCAATTGGTCTAACTCCTTATTTTTTAGAGGATGATTTTTTAACATTTTGATGTAGCAATAGTCCAATTATAAATTATTTGAATGATCCAAACCAAAATATTATACCTCTATTAAATATTAAATGGTTTTTTAAAGTGATAATAAATTTTGAATTAATTATTTTTTCGTACAAATGGAAGATTCTTTAAAATGGAGTTAGACAATTTACTGATTAGAACGTCGATTTATAATTTTTCATTAGACTCAATAAAACGATTTTTTTAAATTATCATTGGAGTTTTTTTGATAAAAAACATTGAAATCTAATTGATTTACAAATTGAACGGCTAAGGTAAAGTACCTAGTAGTTGAACAGGTTTCAAAGTAAAACGTATTTGATCCTACTTTAAATAAGTGATTTTCATGAAAATATAAATAATTTTGAATTGATTAAAGCGCAAAATAACAAAGATAATTCTATACTTATATTTTGACAACGTTTTTAAGATATACTATGAAAGGAGTAGTCGTTGAACAATCAATTCTGACAAGCCGCAGTAGTTGAACACTCTGGGAGCAGTAGTTTAACTAATAAAATATATGGCAATAGGCACAACAAAAATTTTCAACGTTTTATTGAAATATCAAAAGAATTATAACATATTATTGATTAATATTAAAAATAAATACTATAAATATTAAATATGTTCATTTAAAAATGAGAAATATTTGTATTTAATTATTTAATTACATTTATTATGAATGACAATGCAAATTTTCAACTATAAATCAAATAAACTCAATTCAAAACGTTCAATAATTTTTAGCTATAAAACTTATTTAATTTGCAGTAATTAATACAAATCACAATGCTGATTATGACCACTAGTCTATAAACCTATTAGAAGGTAGAGTGCTGTTAAAATTATACGGCCCCAACTTATTTAAGTTCTGGGTACCGTTTTGAAAATTTGGAGCTATAGTTAGACGCTAAAATTTAATATAAAAATGATAGTTTATGTCTTTGCAAAAAATGTCTATTACTTAAAAAAGACTATTTCATTGGGTGGTACAATTTTTTTTTACTTAAAATGATGATATACCGTTTTAAACTTCCCGCTAAAAAAATTAAAAATTTTTTTAAATTCGGGAAGTTATTGGTTTTACCCCGTTTTGCGAAAATCGAGTTTTCATCAGATCTCGACGTTTTAAGGTCACAGGAAGCTTCCCTGACTATTTCCGCGATGGTGTCCGTGCGGCTGTATTTGTGTGTGTTTGTGTGCACGGCCGTATGTAAACCTCTCATAACTTTTGAACGGCTTGACCGATTTGATCGCGGTTGGCACCATTCGAAAGGACTTGACTAAACTTAGATTTTGACCATAATTTGGACCGATTTAAACTAGTAGATTTCGAGAAATCTCAAAAAAACTGCAAAAAAAAATTTTTTTTAATGTGGTTTTTTTGGAATAACTTTCAAATGGCTTAACCGATCGATTCCAAAAATTAATCAGCTCTTAACATAAAAAAAACACGTCGATTGCCGCCAGCCCGGTCGAAATCGGTTAATTCGTTCGGGAGTTATCTAAAACGAAAAATTTCAAAAAAAGTGTTTTTTTTACATAATTTCGACATTTTTTTTTGGATCGTTTTTGATGAAATAAAATATTTATTAGAGTCTAAAAAACCACGTCGATTACCGCCAAAAACGTGAAAATTGGTTGATTGGTTCGTGAGTTATCGTTGTCGAAAAAATTCGGAAAAAGTTAACTTTTCAAATTTCTCTGAAATTTTCGGTTTGATCAGTTTGTGTTTAAAAGTATATTATAGAATTTAAAAAACTGCGTGGAATGCTGCGAACTGCCTGAAAATCGGTTTATTCATTCAGAAGTTATTGCAATTTGAAAATTCAAAAAATAGTGTGTTATGAAACGTCCATCAGACTCGTGAGCTCGAGGAGCTCAAAAACGTCATAACAGTGCAATTTCAAGCGCTTAGATATGGAATGAGCGGGAAGTTGGAGGGATGGCCTTTAGGGTCAACCGTTTTCCAGATGATTTTTTTTACTGATTGTTCGGTTTACGGTTTGGTACCTTTTTCATGAAAAAAATAGCATCTATCGGCTATTCTCCACATGTCAACTTTTAAGTTAACAAAAATATAATCTTTTTGATTTATAATTGAAAAAAACTTACAGAAATCAATTACTGTATCATTGAATAATTATATAACATGCGCATATTACTCATGATTCATGATAAATATACGGATTTTGTATTACAACAATTCGAAAAGTCTGTTCAAGTACTGGTCCCATTTTTATAAGTGTTCAAGTACTGGGCATTTTACCTTACAATTATCAAAATAGTGAATAATTTAATTTTTCAATTCGTTTTAGGCCTTAATAATATAACATGAATTCATTAATGAGCTTACCATGACATACCACAGTGTAATAATGACTTTAACGGGCAAATTAAACCAAAGTGTCCACAAAAGTATTCCGTTAATCAAGTTAGGCAGCCAGCAAACATAATAAACTAGATTAATCATCGCAAATTTAACTTGAATAGTTTGTACAAGTTTCCTTTCACGTCCAGTCATCTGTGCCATACTACATGTGACTGCATTTTGTAAATCTTTGGTTGATGATACATATAATACTGGATTAACAATCATGACAATACCCAACAATAAATAAGTTACGCAGTAATTTGGTAAAATCCGTAAAATAGCTGTACTCATTGTTATTGACTCGTGGCAACTGGGAAAATTTTTTGTTATTCATTTAAATAGTTTTTTTTTTTTTTTATTTATGTGATTTAAATAATTTGAATGTATTACTTTGCCTCTGGGATATAAAGAATAGATAATCCGAATGTTGTTAATAGTGCAGGGCAAATCCAAGCAGCTGCGTGATACCATCCATATTTACTTGGTCGTTCACTCAGCAATAGCTTCATGTCTATCGCATAACACAGTGTCCAAATCCAGGTTGACATGTAAAAGTATTGTGTCCATGCCTGGAATATTTTTAAATAATTAATACTGATAAAAAATACACTTTTTATTATTTTTTAATTAATGATCTTACTGATGACAATGCGCAAAATATGACATTTGAGGTGTCTGTTGCTGGCATTATTGGTTTATAATTAATCCATAATATTGAACGAAGAAATACTCCTGAATAAAATAAAAAAATTTTAGTAATTAATCTTTAAAATGAAATTATACTGAAATCAGCAGACATCTAGACATTTTTTTTATTTTTATTACAAATAAATTATAAAAAAATTTGCCGTTATGATACCTTCAATTTTTAAATGTGCTATTTTTTAAAAAATTTTTCATGACATTAAATTGAGCTGTGACTTGATAATTTTTTAATTTTTTTTTAATAAAAAAATTTGTTGTAAAAAATTATTTTTAAAAAATTGAATTTTTAATTTATTAAAATTTCTACAAGTTCATTTTTTTAATAATTTTTTTTGCCATAATTTATTTATTAAAGAAAATTAAAAAAATTGTGAAGTGACAGCTAAATTTAATGTCATAATTTTTTCATAATAAATCAATTGTTATAAAAATCCAACAAATTCACAGATCACTGTCAATTTCAGTATTATAAAATTAATTATATTGCATTGAATTATTAATTTTTTTTTTAATTGTATTTGAACATTTTTGAAGTTCTGAAAAAAATATTTTTAGTTTTCAGGAAAATGTTTTTGACGGCTTTGTTTATTTTATGGAAAAGAATTTTAAATTAGAAATTTTTTCATAATAATTTAAAAAAAATATTCAAATCACGCACTTACATTTTTTAAGATAAATGCAAAATTGAGTTTACAAAAAAATATGAGAATTTTTGAAAAATATAAGAATAACAATTAAGTTAGCCGACATCTAAAAATTTTTAGAATTTTTTTTTTCGAAAAAATTATTACAAAAAATTTTTTTTTTAATTTCATTTGTAAAAAATTTGAAAAACTGTAAGTGCAATTAAAAAAAAATATTTTTTAGTTCTAATTTAATAAATTAAGCAAAATCAAAAAATAAAAAATGTCGGCTAACTTTATTATATACCACTGGAACTCTTAGTTCTTTTAGTTCCAACTTCAGACTACTAAAGTGTGGAATATAAACAATGATATACTGAGTTTTAATTTTTTAATCTATAATATGTTTTATAAAATATTATATTTAATTTAAAATTTTTAAAAGTGAGCTTTAAAACTCTCAAAATTTTCAATTAATATTTTATCCCAAAAATTTGAAGTTATAAATTATAAATGAAAAAAAAACTTTAGAGGTTAGGTTTGTTTTTACTTGTTCAAACAAGTTTCTTTAAAACGATTAAATTATTGTAAACAATACGTTGTTTAAGGTAAAAACGATCAATAGATTGTTTATTGCTTAATATTTTGATATATATCACAATATTTTTATAATATTATTTCTCTGAAAAAACTAAATTTTATTACAAAAATATACAATTTTGAAAATTTTCAATTTAATCAAATTTTTTAAATTTATTTTTCATGTTATTGCAATTCATTTTTATGAAAAACTTTATTAAAAATAATTTATCCGTCCAAATATAATTAATTAATAATTTTATTTTTTTAAATTCATTATTATTAAATAAAATAAAAATAATTGATTATTATTTATAAAAAACTAACCTAATTTTTAAATTAAACTAAACAAAAAATTAAAATAGCTATATTCGGTAAAATTAAATTACCTAGTGATGCAAATAAGTCAGCGACAGCGAGCCAAATAATGATCTTTCGGCTTCTTGAAGAAGAAAAATTCTGCCAGCGATATTGATTGTAAACTTCTTCTCTGGGTAATATCTAAATTTATAACACTAAAGTTAGCCGATAATACTAAAGTTAGAAGACGTTTTTAATTTTTTAATTCTTTTTCATTCATTTAATTAGAACTAAAAAATATTTTTAAAAAATTGCATTTATGATTTTTCAAGTTTTTTATGAATGAAAATTAAAAAAAAATTTTTTATAATAATTTTTTCAATAAGAAAAAATTCTAAAAATTTTTAGATGTTGGCTAACTTAATTTTCATAGTTAGCCGACGTTTTTAATTTTTTTAAATTATTAAGTTAGAACTAAAAAATATTTTTTAAAAATTGCACTTAGAGATTTCAAGTTTTTTACAAATGAAAATTTTTTTTATTATTTTGCAATAATTTTTTTAATAAAAAAAAAGGTCTAAAAATTTTCAAATGTCGGCTAACTTAATTTTCATCTAAATTTTAATAATAAAAATAACTGATAGCTAATAAAAACTTTTTTACCTGATAGATAGCACCAATTATTCCAATAATTGATGACAGCATACAAACAACATTATAAGCATCGGTATTGAATTCCTGCATTATAATAATAGCCATATCGGTATTATTGTTGTGCTTACAACAAAATGTTTGGATTGTCGGATCGGCCATCGTTGTCACTTCTTACAAAATAAATCCAACATCCAGGGGCACAAAAATAAGTAAGTACATATTATGATTAATAAAACACACCAACTTATTTAGAGTAACTTTCGTACTGACAAACTTGATGCCTCATTGAAGACATTTCTTAATCTGATGTAAAAAGTCTGAGACGAAAAAACTTTGAGATAAACAGAGAACAGAAGAATGATAACGTTGTTGATAAGAACTGACTTGAAACTCTACTTTGTAGAAACAATAGTAGGAAAATACAAATATTTTTTTATTATTGTGAGATGCGCTTGTGTATTATGTGATGTATTATTAAATATTAAAGAATTGTCGATGAAACACAAAACAACCGGTTTTAGTTTTGTAGGGGATAATAATATAAGTACACACATATTTACATTCACATTCACATCATAAAGTTTTATACTAATACATATTTATGAGTTCAATGTTATATATACATGTATGTATGTTTATTAAACCGGACAAGATATCTTACCTTGAAACCCCACAAGATCATGATCGATCGATTGTTTCCTTCATCAAAACCACAATTTACTTTCCTTTTTATATGATTTATTACATACTTTTTCTTCATTTTGATTTATTCGTTTTTTAATTATAAATTCTATTACTTATTTTATTAAAAAATAGTATATTGTGCAACAAGTGCGACAAGTTGTCGATTGCCCACGAAAGCGAAGTTGAGCGCACGAGCGAAGCGAGTGCGGTCATTCGCTTGAGTGGGCAATTGACAACGTCGCACGAGTTGCACATACTATTTTGTATTACAAATGCGGTGATATATGTGGGTACAAAATTGGGGTCCAGGAGCAAAGCCCTGGCGGGGGGTATGGGGGGCGGAGCCCCCCCCCGCCCCTAAAAACTAATAAAAAGTTAAAATAAAAGAAACAAATATAAATCAGATAATAAAAGCAATAATTAATATTAATTACTATAGAATAAGTTTACACACTGAAACAATCAACATATAAAATTAAGTGACATTAAAGTTAGCTGTCACCACAATTTTTAAATTTTTTTTAACAATCAAATTTTTTCCAAAAAATTATTCATAAAAATTAGATTATTTATTTTATAGAATTCCTACAAGTCAATTTAAAAAAAAATTTTTTTCATGTCATAATTTAATTTTCACCAAAATTTTTAAAATTATCATTTTTCTGCTAAATTAATTTTCATCACAATTAAACAGCTCAATATTAATAAATTATTTTTAATATCATTAAAAATATTTTGTAATGTCAACCTCACTTCTTTAATATTGACAGTTAGATTGTGTTTTTTTTTTTGTTATTTATTTTAATTTTAGCGGTTTTCACAGTCAATTGAATGCGACAAGGATAGTTTGAGTTCGCCAAGAATAATTTGCGTGCGACAAGTAAACTTGTCGCACTCAAATAACAGTTTTATTTATGAAAAAACTCACGCGTAATTTTAAGATGGGCAAACGGCTCTTTGTCAAACGCAACTGCGAGCGTCAAGATACTACTTTTCCCGCATGAGTAATACAAAATAATATTCAATTTTTAGTTTGATTTATTGAAATTTTTTATAAAATTTTAAATGTTAAAAAAATTAAAGAAAAAATATAAAGTTAAATTAAAAAATTTTTTTTAGTTATCAGATAAAATAAAAACAAAATTCAAGCAACACGAAACAAAATATTTTTTATAAATTTTTAATTTTTAAAATAAATAAATATAAAATTTGTAATTTTCGTATTGAATTAAAAAGCTCAATTTTTTTTTTGTTTAAAACAAAAAAATAAGACATTACTTCTTTAACTTTTGAAAACTGTTTTATATGAAAAACATTTTCTTGTAGATATTATATTTTACTTGATTTTTATTATCAGTAAAATATATTTTTTTTTATTTTATTTTTTCAATAAATGATGGATGTAAAAAAAATCGTAATCAAAAATATTTTTAAAATTAAAAAATTTATCGATAAATTTTCAATGAACATAAAAAGTATTTTATATTATAATTACAATTATTTGAAAGTAAATATTAAACCGTATAAATAGCAGGCTTAATAATCCGCTCTTCGAAATAAAGATTGAAAAATTCGAAGGCGATATCCGAAATAATAGCTGACATTTGTATAAACACAAAATAACAAAAATCTATTTACGTATGAGATATTTTACAGGTGGAATTTCATAAAAATTTTTAGTCTAAAGAATTTCTTTTTTTTTTAATTAAGTAAACTTACCTGGAAACTATATTTATCTATGAATATGATTTTTAGCATCATATCAAGGCATACTTCCTGGTTTTGATTACCATCAATTATCACAACTAAAAAAACTTACCTCAAGTTTCATAAAAATACTCGAAAAATTAAATTTTAAATAATGTTTAAAAATTTTTATTGAATAGAGTAACATTGTGTTTACATTTAAAATTGATTACATTTCAAAAACATTTATTTTATTAAAGAAATCAAGCAAAATACACATTCTGTTAAAACAAAAACCAAATCGTTGTAGTTAGATGAATTGTGCAAGTAAAATAAATACCAAGCATTGTCGATTGTTCTCAGGATAAATTTAAACTGCAAGCTTTCATAGAGGAACTCTCCATCGCCCCTTGATATATCTTTTCTGTCGAGCTTTTGAAGTCGTAGGAACTACAATAATGCGTCTCTTTGTTCTTCGCTTTGGCTTAGACTTTTCTTCTTTTTCTTCTTTTTCCTTACTGTCATTATTGTCAACAGTATCCTTATCTTCACTATTATTCTTAAAATTTTCTTGCAAGTTAGAACCATTCGAACTTTCACTTTCCTTCAAACTTTCTTCGATAGAAATCACCTCCATGTTAAGCGAGAATTTAAAAAACTTGCTGATTTTTTTTTTTATTCAAAATAGCACAATAAAGCCTTATCTGATTATAAAAGAACAGTGATAATTTGTAATCTTATCTTAATAACAATATTATACGTTGTACGTTAATAACTGATTTATTACCGGTGATCAAATGCAGACCTTCTCCAACGGCGTCTTGAAATAAACTGAAGTTTAAACGTCTAATGATATTTTTAAATGATGAACTTTTTACTTTTTGCTCTTGATTTCTTCAATAAACTTTACAACAACATTCTCTGATTTCCATTTTTATCCTGGCACCCTCTGGCTGGAATACTAATAATGCTTCTTTTGCTTCGACTCTTCTTTTCTTGACCGGCATTTTCTTCCTGACCCTTAGCTTGGTCAATTGAACATGAATCGACTTCAGTGATTTCTTTACTTTCTTCTAAATTCTTTTCACACACGTCCATTTCGTTGGAAAATTTATATCAAAGTTTAAAATAAAATTATAAACAATTAATATATATTTTAGCAGAGTCGGATGTCTATATTGTTTGATGTTCGGACTTTAACTGACGGTATAATTTTTCCTTCTTCTTAAAGGTAAAGGAGATGGGTTTTTACGATTTCACAATGAGTTATTTACTCAAATGTTATTATTATTAGTCAACATAGACGTTCAAATTTTTTACGGTTTATGAAGTAATATAAACTTAACTTTAATTAACATATAAATTTGTTTTTTTCTTTTTTAACTTCCCGCTAAAAATCTCAGATTTTCAAAAATCGGGAAGTTATTGTTTTCACCCCGTTTTACAAAAATCGAGTTTTCATCAGATCTCGACGTTTGAAGGTCACAGGAAGCTTCCCTGACTATTTTTACGATGATGTCCGTACGTCTGTATGTGTGTGTGTGTGTGTGTGTGTTTTTTTTTTTTTTTTCCCCTTTAGGGGGAAACTATTCTTTCCCGCTTCAAAGCATTATTTATATTTGTTAAAAATGCTAGCCGTAAGATGGACGGTGTGGCTTAATGTATATAGAATAAGTGAAAGGAAATTTAGTATAGACCGGATAGCTCAAATGGTAGAGTAGCCGACATGTCTTCGGAAGGTTCTGGGTTCGAATCCCAGTCCGAGCTATCTAATAATTTTTTCTCACATATTCTATACACTCACATTAAGATGATCCTCTCCACAATCCTTTCTCAATCCTTTCCTACCAATTATCCTGTTACGTGAATGTTGGAACGCTTCACGTAATAATTATCCGTAACTCCTATTCTTTCCCGCTTCACAGCATTATTTATATTTGTTAGGGGAAACCAAAAACGTTAGAACCGGTTGATGCGTTCGTGAGATATCGTTGTCGAAAAAAATTGAAAAAAGTGTTTTTTTGTAATAACTTCGAAATTCATGGCTCGATCGATTTAAACTTGAAAATTTTTCATGGAGTTTCAAAAACTGCGTCGATTGCCGCCATCCGCGTGAAAATCGGTTCATTCATTCAAAAGTTATTGCCGTTTGAAAATTCAAAAAATTGTGTCTTTAAACTGCTATTAGAGTTTTGAGCTCGAAGAGCTCAAATTGACACAAAAATAATATTTTTGAGCTCGAAGAGCTCAAAAACGTAATGTGTAGTTTGAAGCGTTTAAGTACAAAATGAGCGGGAAGTTGCAGGGATGGCCTTTAGGGTGAACCGTTTTTCTAATTTTTTTTTTTTATGTTCCGCTTAGAAGGGCCACTGCTGTAATTTAACAGTCAAAAGTTACGCCACTTAATGGGTTTTACTGAAAAAAAAAGTGGTCGGTATTATCCAAAATTTTAAATCCTTGAATCGTAAAGCCCGTTTTATTGTGAGACTTTATTACGTAATAATTTGTGCTATTAACGTTGTTGGTAACTTCATTGTTGTATTTGTGATTGTAATTAGTTTTGTCACTGTTATTGTCATTACTCGATTTGTCAGTAGCTAACTCTTTGACGCGTCTTGAGTATTTAAGTAAATATTATAAATTATTTTATATATTAATCATTATCGGAACTATAATTAATTAGTGTTTACAAAAAACAAGTTATTAAGAATTATTATAAATATAATTAGATAATTTTTTGAGTAAATATTGTTAAGCTTCATTTAAAATTTTTCAATTTTTCGCTACATTAGAAAAAATATTTTTATATTGAAAAATTTTAGTTTTTAATAAATTGTAGTGATTTAATTTTTTTTTTTTTCGATTATTTGTTAGCAATGACAATCGAAATTCGGATTTTTAAACATTCTACTAAAAATTCAAAAAATTATGAGCGTGAAAGTAGCTTACAATTAATTTCTGGAAACTTTAAAATAATTTATAAGTTATTTGTTGTAAAAAAATTTAGAAAGTTGCATAGGAAGAGTTTATAAAAATTTATAAATTATTTATAAATTTTTGAAAAATTATCAGACTAATAAAGTTATAATTTTTAATATATTATCTGAAAATAAAAGTTTTTTTTTTCATCAAAACGAGACCATTAAAAATATCAAGAACAAAATTTATGAAAGAATTGAATTAAATTTTTTAAATATTTTTTTACTTTCTCAAATCCAAAGTTTTGCTTGATTTGTTTTTTATAGAAAGAAATCGAACGAATTCCTTTTAAATCAGCCTCACAATTTAAGAAATATTAATTTATAAAAAATTACCATGACTTTTTTATTTTTTGTATGTAACAGTTCTAAAAAAAGCAAACATAAGATTGCGCAAAAAAACTTACCCAAATAATATTGTTCTAATTAAATAATTAAATTAAGAATTTTTCTATAATTATTGCAATAAAAAAACGTTTCGAATATTTTAAATAACATAATAAAATTACGCAGTTATAGAAAATAATTTTTTAGCTTTAAAAATTATATTTCATAGATCAACAGACATTGATCTTTAACAAAGAGAGCGTTATCTGCACATTCACATTTGTCATCACGACAAATTGAATTCTGGGCGACACAATGATCATCAGTTGAACAAAATCCACCTAAAAAGTAATATAAAATACAAGGCGTTGGTTTAACCAATGTAGCCAACGTTTACATAATAGAGGTTTACAATATACATAATCGTTGAGTCTGAACATACAATAAAGTTAAATAGAAATCTGTGGGTAAACTAGATAAATAGGTTATCACAGTATGGTCATTTTTAAATATTTTAAACTTTACTAATAAGAATAAGATTAAATTTAACATTTTTATACTAATATATTGCGCGAACCAACTAAGTAGCATTATCATGATAACATTTAAATATAGTTTATCACATATTCAATTTAGTCTTAATTAGAGACTTAGCTATGCAATTCAAAGTTAAAAATAGTATACAATTCAGTTTGAAACTAAACATAAATATGAAGTGAAAATAACGTAACAAAACAAATATTTATATACAACTGTACTTAAACATACAATGATTGACGACTTATAAGCAATTCGCTAGATAAATCTTTTAATAGACGATAAAAATTTGCACAAACAATTCAAAATTCCCTGGTTCAAGTTTCCTAAAAGAAATTCTACGCTGTAAGGGGTATGGCCCAAAAATATGGTTAATACTTTGATAAACTCGGCTCTTTGACAATCATACAAAGAACATTGAAATAAAATGTGGTTCGGGGATTCATCCGCATCACCGCAGTTACAAGATGGAGATTGTACAATACCATATTTAAATAAGCAAACATTCAACGAGTGATGACCACTCCGAAGCCTGTTGATGGAAGTAACTGAGCGTCTATTTAAACTAAATTTACTAAACCATGGTTTGGACGTGTTAGCGTAGAAGTTATTACGATAGTAGTTACCTTTATCAATGTTCGAAGACATGAACCATTCGTGGAATTCAGACCACATCCTATCCTTCCATAGTTTTTTAAAATTGCTTGCAGGGAGAAGAAGGGAAGTATCTCTACCGGTGTAAATAGCCCTCTTAGCCACTCTATCGGCTGCCTCGTTACCGATGATACCACAGTGTGCAGGGATCCAAAAAAGCTTAACGTTTTTATCTTTTATCTCTAACTTTCTAAGAAGGTCTCTGATCAAAAATACTAAATAGGATTTTTTACCCACCATTTTGTCAGACACCAGGGCTTGAAGTACACTCCTGGAGTCTGAAAAAATTATAAAACATCTGAACGGAGATTGCTCGATAAATTTAAGGGCGTGGTAAATGGCCATTGGTGGTAAATTGCCTCTAGGGTGAAAATTGAAGCTTGTCTGGGAGCTCTAAATTCTAGTTCCACTTCTTCCAAAGGTAAGACGACAGAGAATCCCCCAAATGGAGCCTTATCATCTTTAGAACCATCGGTGAATATACAAGTCCAACTTGTCAAAAACTCGTCAAAGATGTCTCTAAAAAGCTCCTGACACCTTTTAGATCCGTTAATTTCCTCTCCTTCATCGAATGATACCTGCGGGTGATGCATAATTGATTCGAATCCATACTCATAGCATAGTGGACCGTTGGATGACATAATCAAATGCCTGTATTTGTCAATTTCGCGGAAGCTAACGACAAGGTTGACCCAGCCGTCTCTGTTAATTAGGGTTGGAGTATCTTCCAGGTCTGCCACCTCTTGTAAAACGAGTAAAACCTTGTGATCAATTCTAGATGCTGCTCTGGCCAAGAAGTTTGAGGCTAAATATCTAAATCTGATATCAAGCGGGGGCTCTTTTGCCTCAGCTAGAATTACATTGCACGGTGTAGACGAGGAGTAGCCCAAGGCTGCTCTTAGACTTCTAAATTGGATTCTGTCAAGTTTACTTTTCTCCGACTTAGTTAAATTAAAAAGAATAAGGCCACCATACTCCAACCTAGATCTAATTAAAGCTCTATATATTCTTAATAGCAATAGTGGGTCTGCACCCCACCAAGTCCGTCTCAGACAGTTGATTGTTTTGAGTGCGTTACGACATTTCTTGTCAATTTTCTCAATGTGAGTCTTCCAGCTCATACGAGTATGGAGATCAACACCGAGAAACCGGACCATTTCGGCATTAGAAATCGAGCACCCTCTAACGGTTATATTCCACTTAGGTGAGTTAACCTTTCTACCATTTCTTTTGTCAAAAATACAAAATTGGGTTTTCTTAACAGAAAGATCTAGTCCAAGGCTGTCAAGGTAGCTACACACATCGTCCATTGCCTCTTTCACTCGCTCAATTGCCGTGTTAGTATTCTGATGACTCGAGTAAAGACATGCATCGTCAGCATATTGTAAAATATAACAGCCATAAACTCTGCTCACAACTTGCTCTAATTCTAGCACGTAAATTGCATACAATATAGGGCTTAAAACGCTACCCTGAGGTAAGCCTCTGAAGGCTGTATAAGTTTCGTCAATTTCCCCGAATTGAAACCGTAGGCTTCTTTCAGAGACTAGGTTATAAACAAAGGCCAGGGTGTTCATTGGAAAACCTAATCTTTTAAGTTTGAACAACAGCACGTCTGGTAGAACATTGTCGTAAGCAGCTTTAATATCTAAAAACATAGCAGCCGTAGCCTCCCCCGATTTGAAAGACTTCAGAACATCCACACATAACAGTGTCAAATTATCGGCACAGGACCTGCCCTTACGAAAACCGTTCTGAGAGCCAGGTAAAATGTTTTGGTGTTCAAGCCACCAACTAATACGATTGTTCAGTAATTTTTCCATGACTTTAGCCAAGCATGGAGCGAGGGAAATAGGACGAAATTTATTCTTCTCGTTCTTAGGAATAAAGAAAATAGCATATCTAATCCATAGAATTTATTCGTATAAGAAATTTTGTTTGATTAATGACTAGCAGCTTAATGGAAAAAAAATTAGGAAAACGGTTGACCCTAATGTCTTAATATAAAAAAACCACGTCGATCGCCGCCAACCGCGTAAAAATCGGTTCATTCATTCAAAAGTTATTGCGGCTTAAAAATTTGAAAAATTGTGTTTTATCAAACTTCTATCAGACCTTTGAGCTCGAAGAGCTCAAAAGCATAAAAAGTTATCTCTTTATTAAGCTCAGAGAGCTTAAAATAATACATAAATAGTATTTTTGAGCTCGGAGAGCTCAAAAACATCATTAGTGCAATTTTTAGGTATGAAATGAGCAGGAAGTTGCACGGATGGCCTTCAGGGTCTACCGTTTTTCTAATTTTTTACTTACTTTTCATGCATTTTTTTTTAATATTGAGTGAACCATCCATGCATTGACACTCATTATTTTTACAAACAGCATTATCCACTGCGCACAACTCATTTCTCCAACAAAATTCACCCAAAAGCGGTGAACATATGGCCTCGTTAGTTACAACATTGTTGTCTCTACAGATGCATTTTTTATCCAGGGAACATTTTGCATGTAGTATGTCACTGCAGTCGTTATCTGTTTTACATGATTCTCTTAGTATCGCTAAAAAAAAAAAAATATATTTTTTTAATAATAATGAAGAGCATAGGATCCAAAATATTCAAATTTTTTTACTCATTACTTATTCTTTTTCCTAAACTTCGTCAAAAATAGTATTATTTGAAAAAAAAATTGAAAAATGTCAATTTTTCAAATAAAAATTAGGAAAACGGTTGACCTTGAAGGCCATCTTTGCTACTTCTTGCTCATTCTATACTTAAGCGCCCAAAATTGCACTTATAACGTTTTTGAGCTCTTCGAGCACAAAGATATAATTTTCGTGTCATTTTAAGCTCTCCGAGCTCAAAAGTCTAATAGTGGTTTAATAAAAGACTTTTTTGAATTTTCAAACGGCAATAACTTTTGACTAAATGAAACGATTTTCACGCGGTTGGCGGCATTCGACGCAGTTTTGCAAGCCTCATAAAGAATCTTTAAGTTTAAATCGATCGAGCCAGGAATTTCAAAGTAATTTCGAAAAAACCCTTTTTTCGGTTTTCTTTCAACGACGATAACTCATGAACGAATGGACCGATTTTGACCGGACCGGTGACGATCGACGTGGTTTTTTTTTATGTTAAGAGCTGATTAGTTTTTGGAATTGATCGATAAAGCCGTTTGAAAGTTATTAAAAAAAAAACCACTTTTGAAAAATTTGTTTTTGTTGTTTTTTTGAGATTTCTCAAAATCTACCGGTCCGAATCAGTCCTAATTGTATTCTAAATCTAAGTTTAGTCAAGCCCTTTCGAATGGTGCCAATTGCGATGGAATCGGTCAAGCTGTTCAAAAATTATAAGAGGGTATCACATATACATGCATACGTACATACAGACATATGGACATCATCGCGAAAGCATTCACGAAGCTTCCTAGGACCTCAAAACGTCGAGATCTAATGAACACTCGATTATCGAAAAACGGGGTTTCAATTTTCTTAGAGGGAAATTAAAAAAAAAATTCGATTAAAGTAAAAAAATAGCAATTTCCAAAATTTTTTATACTTTGTTTTTAGACATAGAATAAAAAAAATAAAAATAACCAAAATTAACATTACAAGTTTTAAAATTAATTAAAAAATTATTTTTGAGTATTTTAATTGGTGTGTTATAAACTTACTGTGAAACGGAAATTATAAAAAAGAAGCGTAACTTACTTTCCACACAGTGAGTACTATTCTTTTGGAAAAACTTAGGTTTGCATTGACAGTAATTGTTATCACAGATAGAATTGACTACATTGCAATCTTCATGATTTGAACAAAATCCTTTTATCACCGGTGAACATGTTGAATTATTTATCTTGACAAAATTTTCAATACATTGACATCTATTATTATTTATATTGCATTCAGTAAAATCAACACCGGTACAATCCAAGCTTCTTTTACAGGGTGAATCTAGTTTTCCTAAAATCAATCACTTTGTTGTCTTTTTTTTTTGTCTAATGATCACTCACCATCATTTATTTATTTTCTTTAATGCTATAAAAATGAAACGATGGAATTTCAGATTGTAGATAAAAAATAATTGAATAACTCTCATTAAAAAAATGAAAAATGCTAGATTTAATAAAAATGTTCTTTCAAAAATTTCATTCTTGTCTTACACAACAATAAAAATAGTAAGATGTTCACAATTATTTCGTATTATGTGTGTATTTGTATAAATAATATAGTAATGTGAGAGGTACAGTAACATTTCAAAAACTTTAGTCTACATTCTTAGTTCCGCAGGTACGTGGGTAGTAAGCTAAATCTTTTTGACTGGATTATCGGGAAAGGACCATCTTAAGATAGTCGGTAACGTCGATTCAAGATATTACCAGCTTGCTTCAATAATGCCATTAAAATTAAAAATTTTCGAATTTTTATAAATTCATATCTATCGAAAGAAGTTTGAATACTTTCCAGCATATATTTAAGTAAAAATTTCATTTTTTAAAAAGATTTTTTGCTATTTTGAATGAAGAATATAAAGTTGTTAGAAGAAAACAAAATGATTCAAGACGAGAAATTCTTAGATTAAGACAATTAGTTATTTTGAAAACAATTTTCTTGAATCAGTTATTTCTTTTTCTCTTTAGATAAATGTGATTCATAAGAAGAATATTGGAATAATTAGTTATCATAATATTTTGTTGCATTACCTATTTTCAAGCATTTAAATGTAGATTGCAATGCTCCTCGTCCTATTGGTTTACAGACGTTATCATATCTACAACATGGCTTGCGGAACAGAATTTTACACTGAAATAAAAAAAAAATAAACTTATTTATCATCAAAGTATAAGTTACTATTGCAAAATTTAAATTGAGCTTGGCATAATGTCGACAGTTGATTTCCACAATTTTTAAAAATTAAAAAATATTTCCGATCGAAAAAGTTTATGAAAACTTATAACAATACATGTAAAAAATTTTCACATTAGAGCATTCTTTTAAGAATTAAAAATTACTTACATGTTCTCCTTGAAGAGCGCATGTATACTTTTCATTATTTTTTAAAGGGGCTAGAATAGATGCATTGGAAAAATCAAAAATAATATTGGTAATTAAAATTGCATTGATTATTGTCTTCATCTTCCTTGTTAGGAATATTAAATCGCTTTTGAAAAAAATAGATTTTTAGAATACTTTATAAGTGGAATTATTATAAAAATGGATAGAAGTAAATTAACAGAGAAAATAACAATAAATCTATTTATTTTGCTATAATGTTCATCAAAGGATCCAACGTTTCCTGTTTGATGTGATAATATAATAATCTAAAATATTATAGGATTTGGTAAAAAATATCATTATGATTCATTATTTGTCAATTAAAGGTAGAAGATAAGTACGATTTCAAGCCACTAATTGAATGTGTTATTAACGATGTAATTTATTAGGTTATTGTTTTTAACTACTTGTTTTTTCTGTTTTTAAACTTAAAAATTAAATATTTTTAAACCAAAAAAATTTTATTTTTATCTTATATATATTTTTTATTTTTAAAAAATTGCATCAAATAAGTAGAAATTTGTTGGTACCATAAATCGTTCAAAATTTGAATGTATCGTATATAAAACTATAGTTTTATCATTAAAATTCAGAAAACCAATTAAAAAATTGGTTATGGAATAATAGAAAGAGTAAGACGGAGATTGAAAGCCAGTATTAGAACTTTTGAAAAAGAAAATATTTTTGAAATATTCTTTTTTAAGTTTGATATGTTTAGTACCGAAAATAAGTAATATAAAAATGTTTCACAATCGTATTATTTTTATCGCACATTAAGCGACGCATTTTTTTTTCAAGTATTGTTTTTATTCAATATTTTATGAAGTAAAAACCCAGCTACTTTTAGAATTCGAATTGGACAAATCGATAAAAAAAAATGTTGTGTGTACTTATGTACACGCGTCAGAAGTTATACTTATTTGGCATAAGAAAAAAAAATGTAAAAATGATCGAAGAAAAATGTTAAAAACAATCAAAAATATTTTATTATAGTAAAAATTTTGGTATATTGTATAAACATAAAATCATTAATCATCATATGAATTTAATTCAATATTATTTAAGATTTTTCTGAATCAACTAATTTTGGAGTTGTAAAGTATTAACAGTTTACAATTGATAATTATAAAATATTTTAATTATTTATTTAAAATATGTTTCTTTCATAATAGTTGATTATTTTTTTTTTTTAACCTAGTGATAATATCTTTTTAATTAATATTTTTTCAAAAAGAATATTAATTACATGAATTAAAAGAGTTACAAATATTGTAGTACAAAACTAGATTTTGTTTCCAATAAAATTCTGAAAAATTACTAAAATGGTCTATAATATACATTTTAAAAGATATCGATAGAATTACTAAATTCGATAAACAAAATGATTAAGGTAGTACCTCCACGAAAAGCATATTTCAAGAAACTTATGAAATTTTTTTTATCATATATTAATAATGGAATTTATTAAGGAATTTTAAATCTTAATTTATAATTTACGATATAGTTTATTTTAAATCATTCTAACTCAAGGACTTTAAAAGCGTATTCTTATTATAATTGGCCTTGTTTAAATCTCAATGTTTAAATTTTATTGACTATTATCTAAATCATATTAATAAATCAAAATTTTAGTATACCAAATAATTCAAAAAATCTCAATATTTAAATATTCATAACTATAAACCAAAAGTTATATCCGAATATTACAAATAATTATTCGGCTGAATATTTTAATGTAGCCTTTTATCTATCTATATGTTGTATTTTATATAATTTTAAGTAACTTTGTAAATAATCTAATGTATACTCATATTCATACACATTTCAAATGTAATTTAAATTCCTTGCCAAGGCAATCTGCCTGTGCCTTAGCATTTATCATGAATAAATAAATAAAATAATTCACCATAAAAATTTCAGATCAATTCACCGCACCGTTTTTGAGTAATTAATTTTCGAAATTGCATCTTTTACACGTAGAGGTATAGAGAAATGGTAAAGTTAGTATGAAATCTATTTGCATCATTCGAGTGGTACGGAAGATTTCATACTAACTTTACCATCTCTCTGTACCTCTACGTGTAAAAAATGCAATTTTGAAAATTAATTACTCAAAAATGGTGTGGTGAATTAATCTAAATTTTTTGTGGTGAATTATTAATATATTTATCTTTCGATAAAAAAAATTCCATAAGTTTCTTGAAATATGCTTTTCGTGGAGGTACTACCTTAAGTCTATATTAAAAAATCTATGTTAAAAAATTATGAACACAATAAAAAGATACCTAAATATAATAAATACTAAAATATTTATATTTTAGTTTAAATATTTTATTTTATAAAATTATTATTATTTTTGAAAAAAATATAAATTAAAAAGAAATTATTACCAAGTTGAATTAAAACTAAACAATCAAATAAAATATTCAATTGACCATTTTTTAAAATTGATTATTAATATGAATAATATCTTTCATATTAAATGGCATTTCTATCGAATTTAAAAATAACAACGTTTCGTTGGATACTTTGCGATTAGCTTGTATATGAGTTAACTTAGTAAAAGAATTCTATATTTTTAATTATGTTTGATGGCCAACTTCATCATGTCGCTTTTTTGGGACATTATGCGCGCGCAGCTCACAAATTTCACTCTCATCCAAACGCGCCAAAAGAAGTATAACTTCAAAAAAAAATCAGGAATACGGTTGACCCTAAAGGCCATCCCTGCAACTTCCCGCCAATTCTATACCTAAACGCTTGAAATCGCACTTATGACGTTTTAGAGCTCTTCGAGCTCATAAATACAATTTGAGTATTATTTTGAGCTCTCCGAGCTCAAAAAAAGAGCTTTTGTATGCTTTTGAGCTCTTCGAGCTCAAAAGTTTGATAGAAGTTTGATAAAACACTATTTTTTTAATATTCAAACCGCAATAACTTTTGAATGAATGAACCGATTTTTACGCAGTTGGCGGTATTCTACGCAGTTTTTTTAAGTTTCAATTGGTTAAACTAGAAATTTCGGAGTAATTCCGAAAAAACACTTTTTTCGGTTTTTTTTCGTTCACGATATCTCTTGAACGAATCAACTGATTTTGACCGGATTGGCGGCAATCGACGTGGTTTTTTAAGGTTGAGAGCTGATTAGTTTTTGAAATCGATTGGTAGAGCCGTTTAAAAGTTATTCCAAAAAAACCACTTCTGAAAAAAATTTTTTTCCTATTTTTTCCTATTTTTTTGGAGATTTCTCTAAATTTCTCAAAATCTATCGGTCCGAATCGGTTCAAATTTTCAGGAAATCTTAGTTTAGTGAAGCCCTTTCGAATGGCACCAACCGCGATGAAATCGGTTCAACCGTTCAAAAGTTATAAGAGGTTTACATACTTACACACACACACACACAACACACACACACACACACACACACACACACACACACACACACACACACAAATACAGACATAGTGACACCCTCGCGGGAATAGTCAGGGAAACTTCCTAGGACCTCAAAACGTCGAGATCTAATGAAAACTTGATTTTCGAAAAACGGGGTAAAACCAATAACTTCCCGATTTTTGAAAATCTGAGATTTTTAGCGGGAAGTTAAAAATTGGTTGTCTGTAAAGTCGGTTTACGGACGATAGTTTTACGTGATAACGTCATAAAGAAATATTGATGAAAAATTGCATACTTTTATGGATTGAATTGAATTATTATCACTGAATTATCATTATTTTGTATTTAAAAATTAAAAAATTTTGAATATTTAAAAATTATTTTAACAAAAAAAAGGACTTATTGATAAATTGTTAATCAAAAATTGATACAATAATTTGATAATTGATATGATTATTATTATTTATAATTAATATTAATTATTTTATTAATTTATTATTTTTTATTATTATTTTATTAATTTATCGTTTACAATTATTATTAATTTATTTATTTATAATTGATATTCTTTATTAACAATTATTAATATTATCAACAATAATAATCTGATATAATTGATATAATTTGTTTAAATATAATCACGAACAATTAGTTATAGAACAATATTCTGACTGCTAGCTCTGACGTTACGTGAAAAGAGAGATATATGTCATAAGCCAATGCTTGGGCCTCTCTATCGTTTGTTTGATCGTGCCTCTCTATCGCTTGTTGCGCGCTCTCGCTTGCACTTACAGGCTCAGGCGGAACGCTCAGGAGGAACACAAAAGCGGAACGGTCTGTCGGAACGCGACATTTTTTCGTGAGCGCTGTCGGTGTTCATCAATTTATAAGACGTTATCACGTCAAAAACTATTTTCGTTTTCTATTTCTTGAATTTTTTTATTCGTTCGAATTGGTTTATTCGTTCAACAGATTCTTAAAAATTTTTCTTGGTAAACATTGTTCCAATTTTTAAAATTTAATGACTTTTTGCTGAAAAATAAACAACTTTATATGTTGAATTCATTATATTGAAATACAGAAATAATTTGACAAAGATATATAACTATTTGTGCACTGACATCGGTTGTTAATGCAAACAGAATGCTCTGTCCTGCAGACCTCGTCAGTTTCACATAGTCCGCCTAATAATGGCTCGCACGTTGCATTGTTTATTATTGCCACATGATTTTCTTGACAAACACATTTATAATTTGCAGAGCACGTCGAATGCGAAATATCCTGGCAATGATAATTATATTTACAATATTGTCTTAATGAAGCCAAAAAAGGAAAGAAACCAATGAGCAATGCAAAAAACACTTCAAATGTAGGAGGCCATGTCTATTCATACGTAAAAAAGTCCTGATAAATTCACGTCGCATAAATGTAAAAGCTCACACGGTGTGGATTTATCAGCGTTTTTTTTACGTGTGAATAGTCACTTTTAATGTAATAAGTATTCTTCCTTGTATTTACAAGACATGCACAAATGATTAGATACACGTCTGAAAGAAGGTTTGCATTGACACTCATAGTCAACACAAACGGAATTATTGACACCACACTCATTTGAGTGACATATAGCTCCGAGAAGTGGCTTACATAACGCTTGATTTACTTCAATATGATTAGCTTTGCAGATGCAAGTCTTGTTTTCTGAGCATTTCATGTGCCATATATCGTCACAATCTAAGGTATCCACACACGATTTTCTTAATGGCGCTAAGATGAATTCAAATAACAAAATTCAGTGTTATGCTAAAAAAAAAACGTAAAAACAATACTTACAAATTCTACATTCATCATCGGTTACAGCTTTATACTTTGGCTTACATTGACATTTATTATTAAAGCAAATAGAGTCATCTATAATACATTCAGTATGTTTTTCACAAAAACCACCTAGAATTGGCGCACATGTTGTATTATTTATCAAAATTGTCTTATCATGACAAACACATTTGTTATTCTCAGAACATTTCATATATTTAATCAATGCGCAATCATCATCAGATTGACAAAAAGTACCATGCGTCGCTAACGAAACGAATAAAGAATATATCATTGAAATAGATCATGTTCTTTTATTACTTACATTTTTCACAGCGTCGATATGATATATATACATATCCATTTTTGCATTGACATTTATTGTAAACACAAAGTGAATTTTCAATTGTACATCGTCGGGAGTCTTCACAAAAAGTACCTAGACGTGGTTGACAAGTATTGTGTTTTATAAATCTGCGTGGTTTGCATACACAAATTTTATCTTCAGAGCATTCAGAATGTCCTGGATCATCGCAGTCGTCATTGTGTTCACAGGACGATCCTAATGATACTAAAACAACTGATTTCATGTTAATGAATACTTTTGATAGAGAAGAAATTAAAAGTTTATATAGTATTAGAATTATTTATTTGAAAAAGATATACTATTTGGTATGCATTGATCTTGAGGACGATACACAAAGGAAGGCTTGCATGTGCACAAATAATCGGTGCAAACTGTGTTTAAAATCAAGCAGTCATCATCTGTTAAACAATGGCCACCTATAAGTGAAGAACACGTTGATGGATTATGCTGCACGCTATTGTTTACACATTCGCATTTTTTATTTTGGTTGCACCATGAATTCTTCACAGTTAGGCAATCTAGATCAGTCTGACATGAATCGCCTAAAAGGACTGCAAATTTATATTATTCAAACTTACTTTTTTGCCATGTGATTCAAAGTTATGTTAAATTATTTTGAAAAGTACCAGGTTTTAAACATACGGAAATGTGTCGTTTGACAGACCATTCGAAGATTTTTGTACATTTGTTATTGCTCTCACAACATGGAAATGACAAATGAGGGTGACACTTGAAAAAAAAAATTTATACCCTCATATTTCAATGTATTTAATTAAAAATTACCGTGATTAGAAAAAGTATTCTGAAGAATTAACCAGAGTAAGAAATTTTGGAAGATTTAGATTGGCGATACAAGATTGAGGTTATGATGCTTTTACAACGGGGTTACTTCCGTTGTTTTCTCATACGTTTCACATTCTAAAATTTTACTGAGCTATTTGAAATCAATTGAACAAAAAAATATTGGATTAATTGTAAATCTTCAAAGTGCTTTAAAAAATTTGGCCGCGAATTTTCGAAGAAGAAAAACTACATTGACATTGCCGCAATTAAAAAGTGCTGCCATATGTCAAGCTCACATTGTAAAATTGAGATTGGTAAGTCGCCACTTAGCAGCTCAGTGATAAAAACGTTTTTTCGCTCCGGTGCTTATCGTGCAATGAGTTTCATGTCCGTTTTTCTAATCAAGGAAAACGCTTTTATAGGCCGATATACTCACTTGAATACCATAAAAAACGCAGTTATAGGTGGTACTGTTTCCGGTTTCATGAATTGTTTCCAGAACATCAACACTGATAATAATTTTAGTTATTGCGAAAATGAATATAAGAGTTCCGTAAACCATTGTACTCGCTCAACAATCTTTAAACCAATAAGAGATACTGTAGTATCAATGGCATAAAAACAATTCGTTAGTTATTAATACATACTGACGTTAAAATTTTATCAAAATTACTTTTTATGAGCCAGTAATAATAATGATAATAATAACAGTCATAAAGTAACTGATTTCAAAATCAACTTACTGATATCAATATTTTTGTATTTATAGCTGTCGTATTTCAAAATACATTTAGAGCGGTTGATAGTTAATTTTCAAACTTGTTTTGCTCATGTGTAAGATAAAATTTCGAAAAAAACACTTTGCTCTTCGATAGATAAATAAATTCTATCAAAGAGCGAAGCGCTTTTTTTGGAAATTTTAATTTACATATGCATTAAATATGCTTTAAGATTCTATTTGTTGGACAAGTATGACAGAGATACTTCCGTTTGTCCAATAGAGGACGACGGAGAAAAAAGTGTAAACCCTTCTTCACTGAAAAATTACTGAAATTAAATCTGAGTTTAGTCAGTATTTTTGACTATTTCATTACGTTAAGAAGATTTATTTTATAGTGTTAACAAAAAATAAAAAACAAAAAGTATATGATCAATTTTTCGGGGATTAATATTTTATTGCAACAAAAATTACAAAATTTTTTTAATTCGATCAAAAGAGTAAGAAATGAAAATACTTCTTTTTTTAGAATACATGCGCTGTGCATTGGTTATGTGATAAAGGAACGTATCCATCCTGACATTGACATTCATTATTGATACAAACAGAATTTTTAACGAAGCATGGGCTATCATTCGTACAAAATCCATCCAGTAATGGCAAGCACGTCGCCTTGTTAACCATAATCTGATTTTCTGCACAAACACATTCATGATTATCGGAACATTTTGTATGTCTCACTTCTCCACAATCAGAATCAGTTTTGCATTGATTTCCTAATTTAGCTGCAATCAAGTAGAAAATGAAAAATTGTACGGACAACTATATATCAGAGAAAAGAATTCATAAATATATACAGTGTAAACTCTATATAACGTCACTTAAGGGACCGTGCTTTTTTCGACGTTATAGAGAGTGGTCGTTAAATGGAAAGAAAGAAAAAATTGCATTTTAACGTTCTAACATGTATGAGTGTATTATACAAATAACAACAATACAATACAAATAACAACGCTTATTGCGTATAGTCGGTTATTTTAGTCTGATATTTTTTGTTGCACCAATATTCTAATTGTAATTTATTATAAATTTTACTCATATCATGAGATACTGTCACATCAACTTCATTAAATAAAAAATATTTTTCCAACAATTTTGCTGCATTAAGTGCTTCGTTGATGCTTGGTGGAGGCTCAGGGTCGTCTTTTTCATCTTCATCTTCTTCATCCACCTGCTGTTCCTCGGTATTTTTCACAGAATTTAAAATTTCTTCATCTGTCAATGAAACTGTTGTAACCAGACTGTCGTCAACTTCTATGTAGGTTTGTAAATTTTCAGATAAATTTTTAGGGACATTAAACTGTTCAGCCCACTTACTTAAAGGAAGGTCTTCACATTCAAACTCTGATTCGCGATCTATATCTTCACTTGTCGTACAAAGTCCAGCATGGCGAAAAGAGTGCTGAATCGTTGTTGCTGTGACCTTTTCCCAGGCTTTTGATAAAAAATCCACTGCACGCAGCATATTAATAGAAGTTTTGCCCTCAGATTCAACCAGTTCCATTGGAAGTTTTTTCCTGTAGTGACTTTTGAGGCTTTTAATAACACTCTGATCCATGGGCTGTAAAATACTTGTAGTATTAGGTGCAAAAAACGCTAACTCTATATTCCGAAGATTAGATACGAGAGGGTGAGCAGGGCAGTTGTCAACAAGAAGCAGTATTTTTCGTCCCTTTAATTCGATATCCTATCTTCGCAATTCCTCTTCAAAAATTTGACTGGTCATCCAAGCTGATTTATTGGCTTTATAAGTCACTGGTAATTTTTTTATGCCTTTAAAACAACGTGGATTTTTTGATTTACCTATTACCAATAACTTTCTTTTCTCGGTACCAGTCATATTCGCAGCTACAAGCACTGTGATACGCTCTTTTGAGAGTTTTCCACCTACACACTTTTCTCCTTTAAATTTTAATGTTTTATCAGGAGTCAACTTAAAAAAAATACCGGCTTCATCAGCATTGAAAATGTCACTTGGAGCATACTTTTCTTTCAATTTAGGCCACACTCTATTAATCCAGTCGTCAGTCACACTGATATCGACACTACGTGCTTCTCCATTAATTTGACCATAATTGATATGGTGACGTCGTTTAAATTTTCCAAGCCATCCTTCTGATGCTTTGAAAGCACTTAATCCTATTTCTTCAGCAAAATGTTCTGCTTTAACTTTCATGATTGGTCCCAAGATAGGAATGTTATTTTGACGTTGCCTATGAAACCATGTTATCATTGCTTGATCAAGGTCTTCATATTGAGGTTTCTTCAATTTTTTGGCAGATCGTCCATCTTCTTCGGCATGCAGAATTTTTTCTTTATTTTTCCATATGGTAGACACGGTGGAGCGACTAAATCCAAACCGTCTCCCAACATCACTAATTTTTTCACCAGCTTCTATAGCACGTATTAATAAAACTTTTTCGTCAACACACAAAGATTTTCTTTTACTCGCCATTCTTGTAGTTTGAGGGTTTGTAGGCAAAACTGAAAGATTATGATAACGTGTAACTAACGAAAGCCGAGTAGTTGAGGTGAACATGTGTAAGTTCATTCACACAACAAACAAACGACTGCATTTCTTAGAATATTCGGTATGTCAGTAAAAGAGAACGTACACAACTACATTTCCATTGATTTCGGCAACTTAGTCAGTACTTCCTAGTAATTAGTAATGCCTTATTGTGGTCGTCAATTAGAGTGAGCGTGATGCTATATGGAGTGTATTATTGTATAGACAACAATGTAAACCAACCAAAGTCGAGAAATTTTGACGTTATACAGAGTTTGACGTTAAATGGAGTGACGTTATATAGAGTTTACACTGTATTTTGATTGTATTTACTAGGCATGCAGTAGTCTTTGGACACACGTTCGAAAGTAGGCAGGCATTGACACTCATGATCCACACAAACTGAATTATTCGGCGCACACGAATCTTGAAACATACAAATAGTACCGAGAAGTGGCATACATGACGCGTGGTTTATTATACGGTGGTTGTCTTTGCAGATACATATGTTGTCAGAAGAGCATTTCATGTGCCATATGTTATCGCAATCGAAACTATCTTGACACAACTTTCCCAATGAAGCTGAAATTAGAAGCATGTGTATTTCATTGTTAAAGTACACAATATTTAAAGAAATATTGAATATATTGAATACTGTAACGGGTAATTTTTGAGTGTTTAAATAACTAAACCAACGAACGATACTGCGACACAAACGCCCCCTTGCTCGAATCTGAAGCTCACCGAATTACAGGGTCAAAAGGGGGCTGTCATCAATATGCAAACCGAAAATAAAAGCCAAAACAAACTCAATTAAATGTAAATAACATATAGATAACTAAATCTAAAGAAATAAATTCGAAAGTCAAACAGGTTATGATAAAGACAAAATAAAAGAATTTATTTATAAAAATCAATTAAATAAGTCAATGAAAAAGATTACAAGTAAACAAAAACACACGTGGTACAATTTTAGGTTATATCAAACCCCAAAACTAAATCAAAACAACAATACCCTGATAGCCAGCGCTTTCTCAGTAAGTGTTGACTTCCAACAGTTACGGTTAATTTATCCATCAAGTTGGCGGTAATTCTTCACTCAACAACAGTTGTAAGCAAATTGACGGAAATCTACGGCCGCAACTTGAATACAAGTTAACAATCAAACTTGTAGTTAAATTTCCTTTCAACTTTACTACAATTTGACGGAAATACTTGTACAGCAAGTTTTGACGTCTATTTGCAGAGTAAGTTATAGGTAACTAATAGGTAATCGCTCGCTTTGCTAAGTCTTTCCGTCAAGTTTGCTTCAAATTGCGGACGTAGATTGACAGTGAGTTATAGGTAAGGTGGCTATCAGAGTACAAAGAACGATTTCAAAACAATAATCTTACGTCGGTAAACGCACGCGTACCTTCCGTCGGTAACAAAGATCCGATCAAAACTGGTCTTTACAAAATAAGAATCCTCACACACACACACTCTCACTCGTCGTAAGCGTCAAAATCGCGAACTAACTTCCAAAAGCTGGTTCCCCGCTCCCCCAGGAGACTAGCCGTCACCCCTGGGCCTAAACCTCTACTCCCTAAAACTGAATTAGTGAAAATTCGTCAAATAAGTGAATATTCACTTAACTTAAGTGCCAATCGAGCCACTTTTTCAAGTCAGTGGCTCGGTTCTCACTTAAATAAGTGAATATTCACTTATTCATGTTTAGAGAGTACCCCGAGAGCGAATGGAGAGTATCCTCTTCGCCCCCACCTACACGGCGTATAATCACCTACTGGAGTTTTGACAGAAGGTCAAAAATCCAGGGAAGTCGAGTCTTGTTAAGAGTTCAAAAGGTACTTACCAATGTTCAAGACGAACCAAGGTAATGTCCCTCCAGGTGTTATTGCTGGAAGAGTATTCACCACAAATAACACTCTGTCACAGGACTTGCTTTTCCGTGCCAAAATTTTGGACTTTATCATATTTTAAATTTTTACTTGGAGCGAACGAATTTCGAAATTTATCGCCATCTGTCCGACGTCATCGAACGAGCATTTTAAAATAATTATTTATTATTTTAATCGTAATTTCGCTCATTTTCTATCCATTCGTCTCGCCAAATTCTTAAGTTTTTAATTTTCACTTTGAAAATTAAATATCAAATGCATTCAATCAATTCAACAGATTACATAAATTTTCATCAGAATACATTTCCATACAAAATCCTCGTCGGGACTTAGAAAATTTCTTACATAAATTATTTTCACAAAATAATAATAATAATAATAATAATAATAATGGAGGTTTTACTTGTATCACTTGGGCAGTGTTTTACAAGGGAGGGTGGGGTATTATTTCTCACTTCCCTTTTTTGTTACCCACTTTCTTCCCAGCTCTACTTTGTATTTTTTACTTCCATCATTATTATCACTTCATTGTACTCACTACTTCTTTTGACCCCACCCCCCTGCATGTCGGGATTTATTTCATTCCCAACACACACTTCTTAATGCGGCTGTGGACCGACTTGTGCCTTCTGTACCGTATTCACCCTGTTCCTTACCATTTGGGTATTGGAACAGAAACATGGGGAAACCACAGAGAAAACCCATGTTAGTACAGTCGGAGCTGGGTTAAGTCTACAGTGATTGATAAGAAATTCTTCTTTATCGACCACTGGAGCATTAGGCCCCTTTCCCGGTGTGCAGAGATCCCTCGCGCTAGCCATTGCTGACTAGAGTGATCACTCATTCAAGTTGTTGCTTAAATGGGTGATCACTACCTTAAATGGGTGATCGCCCAAGTCAGACGTGTGCCGCCCGGCTATCTCTGCCACCTCCAGAGGCTGGCAACATAATAACGCACATATTTTTTATTTATAATGTTTATAATGACTGAAAAATATTGGTGCGTGCCGGGATCGAACCCGGGTCCCACTCTTTCGAAAAGCGGGCACCGAGCCGACCAGGCTATTGCCAGCCTGCTATTTTCACAAAATAATTAATTTCCCAAAAATTATTTTCCATACAAAATAATTTTTGGGACCTAGAAAAAAAATATTAATTTGATATTTCGAATTTTATTCGAAATATCTAATCGGGTATTTATTTCAGATAAATTCAATTTTTGTTCTCTGAAAGAACAAAAATTATCGTGCCACAATTTCGCTTATATTACCTCGGCGGTTTTTACTGCTAGCGGACACGCGACGCCATCTGTCGCGCGGTGGCAAACTAACCAATTTTCTTTCTTTAAAATTATTTTAACTAACAGAAATTAATAATAATAATAATAATAATAATAATAATAATAATATAATATAAACGCTGTATGTTTTTAATGATCATTTAATTTTAAAGAGAAAGAAAATATGTGAACATATATATACATAGTTTACTTAATGATAATTTTAACGTAAATAATACTCGATATTACTCGGTTTTAAACCGCAATAGTAACAATAATAATTAATAATAATACTGAACGCATATTTTAAACAATAAACAGAATTATATACAGAATTAAATCAAATTGAATCAAAAAGAAAAATCGGACCGTCGCGTCGGTAGTCGCTGTCGCTCCCCTCCTTGTCCCGTCTTCCCGCCCTACTCCTCAGCTGTCTCTGTCCCAAAATCTGGGTCATAATACACCCACTTGGCAAACATTTGTATTTGTCCGGATTCCTGAAACTGGGATTACATTGACATTTGTTTTCAATACAGGCTGAATTGTCGATATTGCATGATTCATCATGGTAACACTGTCCGCCGAGGAGTTGCTCACACCGAGATTTATTTTTCATTACATAATTTTCATTGCAAACACATACATCAGCGTTTGAACATTCCGCATAAAGATCCTTTTCACAATCAAAATCAGATGTACAGTTTTGTCCTAATGATGCTGTAATGAATATCAATGAGTGCAATAGTGAAAATATTACGAATGCTGAAAAAAGCTACTTGATTGAAGATAAATATTTTTTGTAACTCCCGCTTCCAAAGTTCAATATTCGAGCCTTGCTTAGCAAACGCAAAGTTGCGTATTGTCGTGATGGTTGCATACACTATAGTAGCGTGCGGGAAAGTAGGCGGAGTCAAACTTTCCAACTGCTTGACCGTGCGGGAATGAAAATTAACTACAATAAATGTATAAGATTCATAGAATGTATATGTCCGCCATTACCACTACAAATCAAACTATCAAGCATACTGAGACTAATTCTAGCGCCTGCGCATACCAAATAACCACACATGAATAGCAGCTTGTCGATCATATGTTCAACTCTGTGTAACTACTAACGAAAACTCCGTTAAAACACGTGTAATACTCGATAAAAACTCCGATAAAATTCCATCGAAATTTCGTGTTGCAACTGCACACGAAACTCCGCGTTTCCGTCGCTACAACGCTGCTTAAACTCCATCGATACTCCGAGTATCAGCCGAGTTTACTTGGAGTTTTGACGGTGGTGCCAAATCCGCTAGGGATATATATAAAAAATGATTTTTTGAAATTACTTCAAAACTTCTATTTCGATCAATTCTATGATCTAATCAGCTCTTCTTCTCAAAAAATGACATCGATTACCGTGAACCACATCAGAATCAGTTGATTCGGTCGAAAGATATCTCGAAAAAGTGTTTTTTCACAATAACATGAAAAATTTACGTCAAATAAATTTGTTTATCATAAATTTGTTTTTATTAAGCTCAAAAAACTGATCTAATTTAAAAAACATCAATAAAACATAGTTTTTCAATATAATTTTTTAATTATTTATCAAAACGGATTTCCTTCTGAAAATTTTGATAAAGCTCTCTAATCGCGCTAAATGCTGCCAATCGTTCTAAAATCGGATGATTTGTATAAAAGGTATTTTAGCTTAAATATTTTGAAAAAAGTTTTTTATTTTTTATTAATTATAAACTAGAGGTTTGAGCTCGAAGATCCCAAAAACGTCGTAACAGCAGGTTAAATTTGGAGTGCTTTTGCATTTTAAATTAGTGGAAAGTTGCAGGGATGGTCTGTAAGGTCAACCGTTTTACTAATTTTTTTTATTCTATTCCGTGCTTAGTTTTTATCGTCAACATTGACACTATAGGTAGTTATCGATACCCTCTAACAGCGCTACGATAAAAATCTAAATTACACCACGACTAAAATTCGATATCAGTTATCGATATTATAGTTAATAAATTTATTTTCAATTGTGGAGCTTTTTTTTTTATTTATAGTAGAATAAGTGTGTGAGGCGTGCATTTTTTAATTTTCTAAAATTTTTGAATGTTACCTTTACCCAGAACTGACCTGTTTTCAACATAAAGCTGTATTACTTTATCATTACACACGGACTGTAATGAATTAACACGATTTTTGTGTGATAAAAGTTATTAACACAAATTTTTGTGTTGAATTTAACAGAAAACTTTTTACTGTGTAATATAGCCAAAAAATTTACCTTTTTGCTTACACTGATATGACCAACGATCATTTTTCACGGCAATGGTGCATTTCTGAACTGGATCGCAACAAGGATTCTCAGCTTTAGGATCACACTGTTCAATAAAAAATTAATAATTTTATCAACATAGTGTTCACTATTTATTGAATAAAAAGTATTGAAAATAATATTATTATCAGTAGCTTTAATTTTTCAATTAATGGTAGGGGAGAAAGGGGTCGATTGAACCATGGGGCAATTGAACCACTCGATTTAAAAAATCGAAAAAATTGAAATAATGATTCATCTTCTTAGAATTAGATTCTAATATGTTAAACTCAGCTATGATCAAAATTAAAAATCATTGCGATTAATAAATTTAAAAAAATTGAGATTTTTGTATTTTATGTATGTGAATTTTTTTTTGGCTGGTGATAAATCGTTTAATAAAATTTTAATTTTTGAATTAATTGATAAAGTTTCAGTTGTAGTAGTTGTATATTAGGGTGTCCGTTATTTCCCAAGTTGATTTTTGTCTCGCTGCCGCCCCCTGAATTTTTAGTTCTTGACCTAAAAAAAAATATATTACATAAATAAGCTCTTAATTACCAAATTAAACCCTGCCCGAATCGAGTTACATTTCCCATTTAAATAACATGGGAATTAATTTGGAACTTTTTGGAATTAATTTTTTTCCTTCGAAAAAAATGCCACTACGACTATGATCGATGCATATTCTGATGGGAAATTGAATGCTTTACAAAAAAGTTCTCTTATAATTTTTTGATAAAATCAATCCTTTAAAAGTTATTTATGGTTTAAGTTGTGTATTTAATTATTATCATAGTTTTTCAGTTTTGCTATGAAGTTTCATGTGTTATAGTCATTTATTTCATCTATCAATGTTTCAAAAATTTTATCAAAAAGATTAACAGTTACAGTAACGTTAACAATGCAATGTATCAAATACATTCTTAATAATATTGCCGCACATTTATTTGTTAAGCAATTTTTAGTCGCATTTTTAGAGTGCCGATGAAATCAAATTTTACAAACCAGGTGCATTTTACCATGCATGATAGATGTCAAAAGCAATTTATTCGCTGAAAATATATATTTTTCAAGACATTTTCAAGTTAGATCTTGAAACGCAACAAAATCTTTTGGAGATTTGTTCATTCATACGCGGATAAAAAATTTAACTTGACTCAAGATCAAGAATCTTGAACCAAGAACACCATTTTGAAGAAAATGATACTCTTGAGTCAAAAAGAAAAATTCTTAAATCAAGAAAATTTTATTGAACCAAGAAATATATCTTGACTCGAGAATTTTTTCCTTTGACTTAAGAAATTCTTTTTCTTCGAAATGGCGTTCTTGGTTCAAAATTATTGCTCTTGAGTCAAGTTAAATTTTTTATCAGTTTAGTATTTATTTATGTGTCATTTTCGTTTGTGCCACCTCTTACAGCATCAGTTCCATACCACGATTTAAATTATATCAAGACTGTGTATCAATACAAGACGAATCTTGACTCGAGAATTTTTTCCTTTGACTTAAGAAATTCTTTTTCTTCGAAATGGCGTTCTTGGTTCAAAATTATTGCTCTTGAGTCAAGTTAAATTTTTTATCAGTTTAGTATTTATTTATGTGTCATTTTCGTTTGTGCCACCTCTTACAGCATCAGTTCCATACCACGATTTAAATTATATCAAGAATGTGTATCAATACAAGACGACTGATAAAAAAGTTTCTGAGGCAGTATTGCACAATTTCAAAAACCATCTGTGAAATTTAACTGGTGAAAAAACTGCTTTGGCTTTTTTTGATCCAAATATATCACTTCACGTAAAACGAAAAATGATTAAGGTAGTTGGGTCCTGCAAGGCATATTTCAAGAAAGTTATGAAATTTTTATTTGAAAGATAAATATCTTAATAATTCACAACCCAAATTTCAAATCAATTCATCACACCGTTTTTGAGTAATTAATTTTCGAAATTGCATAATTTACACGCAGAGGTATAGAGATATGGTAAAGTTAGTATGAAATCTTCCGTACCACTCGAGTGATGCAAATAATTTTATACCAACTTCATTATAATGAAGCCATTATCTCTCTATACCTCTGCGTGTAAATAATTACTCAAAAACGGTGTGGTGAATTGATCTGAAATTTTGGTGGTGAATTATTAATATATTTATCTTTCGATAAAAAAATTTCATAATGTTCTTGAAATATGCCTTGCAGAATCCAACTATATCATGAAGCGTTAAAATGTGATGAAAATTTCGATTTTAATTTCCCCTAAACGCTATATAGTTAATTGAGATAATAAAATGATCAATTTACAAAAAAAAAAGATATTGATTTTCTTATTAAATAAATTAATTTTCTTTAATTGAAATTCGATTAAATTTTTTGTTCGATTCAACATAAATAAAAATTTCCTAGAGATTAACTTTGAGACATGGGCTATTTGAGACCAATAACGATTGTTTGGAAATATTAGACATCGTAATTAGACATTACTAATTGTAACGATGTAGCCGAAAGAGCGCTTCGATTAATTCAAGATACATCAACATTTTAACTCAAAATTATTATTTAGTTTTGATTCGAATAATAAAAAATTGCTAAACTTTTTTTGGTTCAATTAACCCCCTTCTTCCCTATTGATTTAACCATTATTTGTCGATTAAAAGTGATTTGGAAGTATTTTAAAAATGTAATATTATAGAATCGTTCTAAATCACTTTATGAGCAGTAAAGTATTTTTATTCGCTAATCGAAAAGTATTTAGAAAGATTGAAAACTTTTAATTTTTTTTTTAATACTTTTTAATTTTTAAAAAGGATTTTAAGGTATTCAAAAGTGTTTAAAGTTTCAATTTTTAATTATTCATAATTAATCTCTTTCAATCTTTAAAGTGAATTTAGAATTATTTATTGAATTTGATCGTTTTTTTGATAGCTTTTTAATATTTACCGATAATTTAGAATGATTAAAAAAAATTTGAATTTATTTTAATCTTTTCTAATCAGGGATAAGTAAAAACTTACAGGTCTTCCGTCGAAATAAGCACAACTATTCCCATTATCGCTATCATCTTCATCAAAACCGTAGAAAACTGACGAAGTAGCCTGGGTCGTAAAAATTGTTATTAAGAATATTTTTCCCATTGCAGCCAGCATTTTTTAATTATTTTTGACTAACATTAACCTTTCTAAAACGGTTTATCTGGAAAAAGATAAGACAATTAATGTCATTAACGTTTAATGATACTTTATTAAAAAGCTTACGTTAACCTAATGATGTCTTAAATCGAAGACTATTATATTATTTCAGAAAATTTTTATAATAGCATTATCAAAAAATTAGAAAAAGTTAAGATAATTTCTTTCAGTGCAATAAGCTGACAATATCAATCATAAAACAGTTAGAAAAATTATATTTTTTATGGTAAATATTCAAAGAGTTATGGTCCCGAGTATTTGAAAGCTTATGAAAATAACAAATTATATATTGTTTTAAAGTAATTAACGTCTCCAAAGGCTATTAAAATACTTACTTTTTTTTTTAATAATTTTTTAGCTGTCAGAACATTAATACTAGATAGAATTAATGGAAATCTTCGATAAATATACTAGTCACTGTCTAATCGAGTAGGAGTCTAATATACAAGCCATACCATACAGTATCCGGTAAGGGCTATATTCATCAAAGCAATAAAATAATTAAAAATATTGATCATTTCCCATCAATAAATATAATTAATTAAATTCTTTTTAAGTATAGACAAATTTGAGGTAAAAATAAGTTCTATCTTGAAAACCTATTTCAATATAAAGTCATAATAAATTTTTTTTAAATCAATTAACGGAAACGTAAAAAAAGGTCATTCAGCAGATGAAATGGAAGTAGATCAAATAAGTGTATTTAGATTTAAAAGAACAAGTAGATATGGGAATGAAAGCTTATTTAATCAGTTTATGTATAGATACATTCTGCTGAAATTCGATTTCGTTGCGTTTAATAATTATTTCAAAAAAAAAGCGCTGAAAGCATGAATTTTGGGCATTTCTAAACTAAACGAATTCGGTAAAATAAAAAAAGTGAACAAAAATTTATGTTGCAGGTCCGCAAATGATGAAAAAAAATTTTTTTATTTAATTCTAAAGGCAAAAACATTTGAAAGGAACTTAAATTATCCCAAATACTTTTTTTTTCATAATTATTTATTCAAAGAAGAATATTTAAATTCTACAACATCGATAATTATAATGATTATAATTCAATAGAAGACTAATTTTGACCAAAGCTTATCTGAGATTACAATGAATATTTAAATTGATAGTATAATGTCAATATCACACGATTGATTATCGGAACAACATTTACTTATCAGTTTTTTGACAATATGAAGTGCCGATTGACTCATAGCCTTCATTGCAATAACATTTTCCGATTTCGTAGCACTTTGAATTCGATATTCCGTTACAATCTTCGTTACTTAGACAGGATTTTCCCAATTTCACTGAAAAAAAATAGCAATAAATTTTAGGAATCAATAGTTCTATAACAAAGAAAAAAAAATACGTCTATAAAGTTAGGATTGACGAAAATTATTAATGATTACTCGGAATCCAATAAAGCAACAAAACTTTAATTAGAGCTGCTATTTAGCAACACAAAAACAACAAATTTAATACTACAAATAATTATGTTGTTTGAAAAATAACCGTGGTACTGATGGTCAATTGTGGACGAGTCAATGCCTGCTTTACAGACGTACACTGAGAGAAAAAAATTTATTTTGAAAAGAATCAGCAATGTTGTAATAAAAAATTTAATTGTTGAAAATTTTTAACAATTTTATTGCTTAACTAAAGAAATCAAAATTTTTTTCATAGCAACTTTCTTGTTGAAAAAAAGTTTTTTTGATTTGGGAAAAAACAATTTTTGATGAAAATTTACAAGTTGTCTATCTAAAATTGTTTTTTTTCCAAACCTAGAAAACTTTTTCGTAGTTAAGAAATAGAACTGATTAAATAAAAAATAATAAGAAATAAAACATCCATTTTTTTTAAAAGAAATTCTTTCTCTGAGTGTAAAATAAACTTACATTCAGTGCATTCATTTTCATTAAATGCCATCAAATTTTTTTGGCATTGACATTTGTTATCAATGCATGAGGAATTGTTTATTATGCAATCATAATCTTTGAAACAGAATCCTCCTAAAAGCGGCACACATTTGGATTCACCCATAGCAGTGAAATTATCCTCACACTTGCATTCTCCATTTTTACATACTGCGAAGTCAATTGTGTGACAATCGATATCTGATTACAAGATTCTTTCAATTTAGCTGAAAATTTATTCATAATAATTAAGAAGATTATTTAACTATATAATAAATAATGAATGATAAGTTTATTTCATGTACGGCGTATGTCTTTGATATTAATACCTGATGATTTCAAGCATCTGAATGTACGGCTTGCCGCGCCTCCTTCCTAATCTAGTACATTTATAGTCAGGGTCACAGCAGGGTCGATAAGCTTTCACATTGCACTGTAAATAAAAAAAGCACCATTCAGCCACACCCGATATGGAAGGGTAGATTTCTCAATTTAAGTACATAGTAAGAGTTAAAATATTTGATACTACCTTTGAAACGCTTATAAAATTTTTAAATTTAAGAAAAATTATACATTTAATAATGAAAATTGTAACTTATTTCATGAGCTATAACATGCACTTTACAGAATTTTGATACAATAATCTATGCAGTGGTTATTCGAGGATAATTACATAAAAATAATTATTTTCTATATTTGTTCTGATTTAAGAAGGTGTAGAAAAAATAAAAAAAATGATTAAAAAAAAAAAGTATTAGATAAATTAAGTTACCCAAGCGTCACAAAAAAATGTTGACTTTTTAGTAGATTTTACTCAAAAAGAAATCAAAAATGAACAATCTTCAACTTATATTCATCAAAAAATGTGTGCCGCTTAGGTAATTACATAAACTTTGAATTTAGTTTGCCAGAATTAAGTTATTTGAGAAAATCTCGTAAAATTAGACGATTTTTAATGCTCGTCGAATTTTTAATAAAAAATGTACACGGAGAAAAAAATATAGAAATCATTCCTATAATTTTAATGAAATGTTTTCCTATTCCATTTTAGGAGCGATTACTTAAATTATGGGATTGTACCCATAATTTTTGGGAAATGTTACTATAATTATAGGAATGGTTTACATAGAATAGAAAAAGTTACAACTTTTTCAACACTAGCGTGAAGAGGATAATTAGAATTTAGAAAACAACATAATAAAACAGTCAAATGCTTACCTGAAATCTATTGCTTGAACACAATGAATGATCGACTTCGGAAGTCTAAAGATCGAAAATATAAGCATACGTTACAAATAAAATAGAAGAAAAAATAATAAATTTCATATTGATGTCTTATTTTCTTTGTTCAATAACTTAAACTAATCGACTACTTGAAATTAATTAAGGTGAACAAATTATTTATAAGTAATTAGTCAGTGCTCCTAAACTCTCATCTTCTCTAGTTTGTTATCTCTTTATATACGACAAATTTATGATCTATTTATGACCTGAAGGTATCGTCTAGCGACTCCGCGGTTTCTCGATCAAGAATGTACATTTATTCTATTCATTTAGGAAAAAAGTCATACTATAAAATAAAAGTTATTTTTTTTTGATTGGATAAATTCTCATTTTATTACCAAAAAATTAGATTATTTTTCAAAAATAAAAATTACCGATATTTTATCATGAGTCATTAAATTCTTTCGAGCTTCGATTTAATATTTCAATAAATTTTAAGCATTTAAGAGAAAAAGCCACTGTGAGGTAGAAAATATGTTTTTAAAATTCGTCTTTAATCAAAGTTTATAAAACAATATGTGTGAAAATTTTCGATCTAAATTTAAAAAAATGAATAAGTTACCCATTTTAGTGAGAAAATGTAGACAATCTTATCTTTTATTTTATTTTTTAATTTTGTTCGTCTGTGCAGTGTCTAAAGTTGAACTTAGTCAATTCAAAAAATTTTCCTTTTTACTATTTTTAAAGCTATTTGAAAACAAAAAAGGCCAAAATGGAAGTAGATTTTGAATACAAATTTGACCGATTCGGACCGGTAGATTTTGAGAAATCTTAAAAAATCTACGAAAAAAAATTTTTCCAAATGTGTTTTTTTTTGAATAACTTTTAAACAGCTCTGCCGATAGATTCCAAAAACTAATCTGCTTTTAACATCAAAAAATCCCGCCGATTGCCGCCAAGCCATTAAAAATTGATTAATTCGTTCGTGAGTTATCGTTGACAAAAAAAATCGAAAAAAAGTGATTTTTTCGAATCACACCGAAATTTTCGGTCTGATCAATTTGTTTTTTTAAAAGTATATCATAGAATTTGAGAAACTGCATCGAATGCTGCCAACCGTGTGAAAATCGGTTCATTCATTCAGAAATTGTTGCGGTTTGAAAATTCAAAAAATACAATCGAGTTGCGTTATGAGCCTTCTTTGTGTCTCTCTCTTATTAACGCGAATCTGGTTGAAAAACAAAGAAAACAAGCCGGACTCATAACGGGATTCGACTGTAGTGTTTTATTAAACTTCTAGCAGACATTTGAGCTCGAAGAGCTCAAAAGCACAGAATAGCTTACTCTTTGAGCTCGGAGTGCTCAAATTAACTCATAAATTATATTTTTGAGCACGAAGAGCTCAAAAACGTCATAAGGGGTTATATCCACTTGTAAGTTCGAAAAAATGTGTTTTTTTGTTAATTTTTTCTGGAGAGGCGTTTTATTGAATATATACATAAAATATATGAACATTTAGTGAATTTAACGTATTCTAAGAATTCATATTTTATTAATAAAAATATTGGGTTCCGTCGTTTCTGTAGAAGATCTCCTGAAGGTCCTCCACAAAAAGGTGTCTGGCGGTGAGGAAGATATCTCTGATCCAAATTATCAGAAATAAAAAAAACCAAAAGGATTACTTTTAGGATAGATAAATATAGGTAACGATCGAAGAAATAGTCAAAATTTTGATTTTAGATAAAATGGCGGCTTCCCAAAAAAAAAATCTTTTTTTGCACGAAAATTTACACTTTAAGGTGACTTAAAAAAATCGAAATTTTCATCAGAAACTTTATTCCTTCGATCATTACCTGACAAAAGTATCTATGAAGGTCCTGTGAAAATTTAAAGTCAATCGGTCAAGCGGTTTCGGAGAAATATTCCTCACCGACTTTGAAAACATCGCTTCGAGAAAAACGCATTCAAAGTTTTGGCTATTATTTAAATTACCTTCAAACGCTCGGAGACGTCTTTACAAATACGCTTATTACTCCGAAACTATTTACCGGATTACTTTGAAATTTACAGACAATATTCTCGAATATATATATACATTCAAAATATGCAAAAAAAAAAATTTCGATTTTTTCAAAATTACAAGTGGATATAACCCCATAAGTGCAATTTTATGCGCTTAGATATGGAATTAGCGAGAAGTTGCAGGGGTGGCCTTTAGGGTCAACCGTTTTCCAGATTTTTTTTTATTGTGACAATTAAAAAATCCTAGATATAATATGGTTCACTCTGCAAATAAAAAAATATATCTTCGAGTATTTTAATGGTTAATGTCATACATACAATATAAATTAAAATAGTTAAAAAAAAAGGCAAAATGTTAATTTTCTATTTTTTAAGATCAAACTCCAAGTAGACCGTGAAAGTAAACAATTACTGAATATTCTCATAAAATTTATTGTAACAAGTCTACTTGTTGTTCCAACACATCGAATTTGTTGAACCAACTAAAAGATTTTGTCATCATAACAAAACTATTTTGTTGTTATAGCATATGAATTACTTATTATAACCTAGATTTTGTTACTATAACATATGATTTGTTATCCCTATGCTAACATATTCATTTGTTACCACAACAAATCTTATGTTATCACAACAATTTTTTTTTTTTTGCGTTCAATCTCATATATTCACATTTATATAAATAATCTTATAACTCTTTAACTTTCAGATAGTCTTTATTTTAGATAACGTTATCGTTGTAATTGGTATTCAGGTATAATAATAAATATTATATCGCTTACAAGTGATTCGTTTCTTCATTATTGTCATAAATAAATAATAATTAACAATAAATATTACAAAGGCTTACGGCACTTTCCTTTGCCGTCGGGACGATATCCTGGTGGACATTTGGACCCAGGCGGAACAACAATTATCGATCTTAAGGTTTCATCGATCTCATTAAGTGTGTCTTCTAGAAAATTTAATTTTTCTTTATATTTTAAGTAATACTCAAATAGTTTTTCGTCAGGAATGAACTCACTGCTTTCTTCCACTATACTATTACTCAGTCTTCGTTTTGTAATATTGTTATCCCACTTGGATGCAAAAACCAAGCTCACGTGATCATAGAGCAGGCAGAATACAATGATGATGCTGATGAATCGCTTTGCAAACATCGCGTTCAAAATTAAGTTAGGTTCAGCAGTAATAAGTGTTTACACGATTTTATAAGCACTCAATACTGCCATACTTTGCGAAAGATGTTAAATATATATTATATTATATTATGAACGTATACATTTTGATAACAACATCACTTCAGCTAACTATATCAACGCGTAAATGATAATCAAGATAAAAAAATTAACTTTAGCATTCTATCAGAATACTGTCATCTTTATATTTATCTCATTATTTCACAATATTGATTAATAATCTATGTACATTGTTTATGAATATATCACAAATTCGTAAGAAATCCCGTCTATTAGCCTAAGATATACATTTCAGTTGTTTATTTATTTATTTTTTATCTTCCCGCTATGAATATCTTAAGACTTGAGAATATTTAGGATAAATTTTATTCATAAAGTATTCTTAAGTCTTATATTAAAATTCTAAAGCAGGATCGAAAGTTCTACAGGCGTGCCAATTTCTATCTACAAATCAATTTCAAACTTGGATTGATCTCAAAACTAATTCATATTTGTGTCAAAATATGAATTTCAATCTTAAATTCATTTTAAATCAGAATTTTTTTTGCACGGGATGTAAAAATGTGCTTATATTAAGAAGAATTCATTTGAACAATGAAATTGTACGACATATGTCGAACAATTTGAAGAATTTTAATTTTAATTCTTTGATAATGACGCTCGCTCTCAAAAAAAAAAAAAATATTTGATTTTTACTTTACTGTTTTCAAACAAGATATCCTTTATATCATGTAAAAATTTCTTTCTCGAGGATCAAATACAAGGTAATCCCGCATGGAAAAATATATATGCGAAAAATCTATGCAAATATATATTTTCACATATATTTTTTTTGCGCTAAATATATGTCCGCATATATGTTCACATATATGCGTAGATATATGTTCACATATATGTGAACATATATATGTGCATATAAGTGTCTAGAGATACACAGAAAAAAATTTAACTTGAATCAAGAAAATAATTTTGAAAAATTTAACTTTCTTGATTTGAGTAAAAAAATTCTCAAACTTCGAAATTTTTTTTTTAGTGTATGCTTACATATATGTCTACATATATGTAAGCCTGTATCTCTGCATATATGACAGCATCTATGTGAAAAATATATGTTGACATATTTTTTTGCGTAAATATATGCGACATATTTTTTTGATTTATATATTTCTCCATGCGGGAATAATAATTTAAGATAATACCGACGTGTTTTAAGAATACCAATAATGCTTGAATCTCTATTGACTTTGGAATCATCAAAAATAAGTTTCACATACTTTTCAGAATAGATTCAAGTAAAATATATTCTTTTTTCGCTATTTTCATTAAAGAAACTTATTCTTGAAACAAGAATATGAAATTTTTTAACTTGATAAAATCAAAACTTTGCACAGGAAGGGCTGATGACGACACAATAATTTAATGAGTTTGACCCATCATCCTGATTAGGATTTTCAAGATTTGCAATTTTTAGAAAAGCAATAGGCGTGCGAATTTCTTACTCCCGTCACAGAGAGGTAATTACAAACTTAATAAATTATAGTTTCAAAAACTAAAAAAGCGCGCTTTAATAGAAAACTCAATTAAAAAGTAGAAAATAATTGAAAATTAATATAATTGTCAATAAGCGTCGGGATTTTTTAAAATCTTTTTATAATAACTCTATATTTACCAATATTTTTATAATGTAATGAATTTTTTTTGTTAATCACTCTATTTTTATTTTAAACTTATTGAAAATTATTTTCTACTTTTTAGTTGAGTATTTATTAATACGTGTTTATTAGTTTTTTAAGCTATTATTTATTTTATGAAGAATTTGATTGGATCTCACAAAGATAATATTCTCTCAATTCTCAGGTGTAAGATTTTTCAAACTAAGAAAACGAATTTCACGACAAAGAAGAATTCTTTAATCAAGACAATTGATTCTCTTTAAAATAATTTTCTTGGAAACGATATTTTTTTTCAAGCAATTAATTTTTTTTCAATACACAAATTGAATTTTTTCTTATGTACTTTTTGAAAAGTGATACAAAAAATGTTTCTCAGTGTTTTTAACAACTGTATGTACTCCACGATATTTTAAAAACTTTTTACTTTAGAATTCATTAAATTTCATTTATTTTCCAAGCGGAAAGTCAGAAAGTAAAAATTTCACATAAATTTACCTTTTCAAAACATGCACGTATATAAATCCGTAAAAAAACAAGAAAAAATAAAAATCCTAATGACAAAAAAAAAATTTTTTTTCGCTGCGAATTATTTAAATTTTTATTCGCTGGTCGATGTTTCAAACCTAAAATTACAATAATTTGTACAAATATTAAACTCAAATCAAATAAATACCAGAAAACTTTTGTCAACGATTCCGATCATATTTTTTTTTTAATTCGATATTCAAAACTTTATCTTGAATTTTTTATTCTAAAACTCAGTTTCTGGATATGACGACTTTGCTTCCATCGTAACCATGCCACTAAAATAATAAACAAAAAGTGCATTCAGTAGGATTTTAAAATTTCAAATTAAGCATAAAAAAATATATTACATTTGGATTTACCGTGAAACATTGACCTTGAAACTCGAAGTAAATAGACGGACATTGACACGATGAGTTAATGCATCGAGCATATTGTATATGGGAACATTCTTCATGAAATAAACATGATCTTCCCAGCGGTACTGTAAAATAAAATTAATAAAAATTATAAACTTATGATTGTAAAATATTTTACAAATTAATAATCATAAATTTACTTTTTTCCAAGCACCTGTAAGTCTTATTTTTTGCAGCTAGTTCATATAGCTCAGGTGGTAAACTAAACAAACTGAGTGTTGTTAACTTGCATTCAAACTTGGAGTTGCAACAAGGCATGCTGGGACACTGAAAACATAATTATATTAATTAAAATATCAATCATTTTTTATTAATTATAATAACGAGCAATTGATTATTCACATCTGCTCCTGTATAAGTACATCTTGAATCATCGAATGTCGGTGATAGGCTTCCAATTTGAGTCAGAGCTCCAATTATTATGGTTAAAATAATGTTTATTTTCATTTTTGCGTCTATTTCTTCTTTTTGGAATATGATTGTCTGTAAAAAAAAAAAAATTAAATTAAATTAATAGAAAAAACGTCAAAAAAGTAAAATATATTTTCAAATTTCTATCCAAAAAGTGAAGCCAAATTCATGATTGAATTTTTTTTTTTTTGAGGTTCAATAACCTCTAAAAAATAACTTGCTTAAAGGAACCGCAGCGCTCCAATCTTTTACAGATTGATTGTTTATGGTTAAATGAAGCGATCAATTTCAATATTAATAAAGTTACAGTAGAAAACAATAAAAAAAACAGTGAAGAAATATGGATACAAAAAATTAAGTATTTAACTTACCACGTTGCAACTTTTGTGTCACCTTTAATAATGTAATGTGTTTTTCATAACTTATCTTCCACAGCAATTAAATTTTGAAGTTACAGATAAGATTTACTACGCCGAAACTTAATATATTTCATTAATGACCTAGTTTACTACATACGTTATGTACATTAAAAAAGACATTTTATTGTAGAGAAATATAATATAATAAATTAAATATATACACTACTTAAATACAGTGATTGGAGCAATGAAAATAAAAAATACAATTTTAATATTTTTATTTTAAAGAAACAAAAAACATACTGAGACATTAATTTTATAAATAAAATTTTTGAAAAACTTAACTGCTTGTAAAAAACAATATTTATTAAGAATACAAATTGTTTAGATTTCAATTGCTGATTTTATTTTTAAAGCATCTTAATTTGAGTAAAGAAAAAAAAATTGTTTGATCTCATATACAATTTTAAATGGTTAACAAAATTTTATTTATAATATGTAGTTGTATGTGGGGTATCCCATGCCAAATAATCGACCACTTTGGAACTCGACCCCTTCAATTTAGCTGAAACTTTATCATTCTCTTCTACCCTTTGAAAAACAATTTTGAAAATTTTTAAAAATTTTTTTGTCCAACCCAAAAAAGATATGAATATTTCAAAAAAATGGGTTTTTTATTTTCAAATAGCCTTAAATTTTTTTGATATTGACCTTTGGGTACGTTTTTTCTTTAAATGTTGGTTTTTGAATGTAATTTTTAAAAAAATACACAAAAAAAATTTAATATGATAAATTTGACAAAATATCTGGATTTTTCAAGTAAAATCGTTATTTTTTCATAGTACATCATTTTTTTTTTTATTTTTATCCTCAAAAAAAATTTCAATTAATTTGACAACTATTACCGCGCAGCCCAGAAAGGGTCGAATTTTTCACATATTTTTTTTAATTGAAAAGAAATAATTTTTTTTATTTTAGAAAATTTGACAATTTTTTTTCAATTAGAAAAAAATAAAAAAAGTTCGGCCCTTTTGGGGCTGCGTGGTAATAGTTGTCAAATTGATTAAAGTTTTTTTTTGAAAAATGAAAAAAAAAAAATTAGGAATACGGTTGACCCTGAAGGCCATCCCTGCAACTTCCCACCAATTCTATACCTTCCCTGGTTAAAAATGTTGATTGAAAAGGATTAAAAATGATGAAATTTGAATACTTTTGAATACTTTCAATTCTTTTTCATGTATATATAGATATACAGTTTACATGGGGTGACTGATTCCCAATACTTTTCAATCAATATTTTTAATCAGGGTTAACGCTTGAAATTGCACTTATGACGTTTTAGAGCTCTCCGAGCTCAAAAAAATAGCTTTTGTATACTTTTGAGCTCTTCGAGCTTCAAAAAATATATATATCTTAATGCGCCGTCCCCTAGCGGATCCATTTATACCGTGTGCTACGGTGTAAACTCGGTGTAATAATAATCACACTCAGTTTACACCAAAAAAAAGATCAATTAACACCGTGTATTTGTGAAAAATTTACCAGCTATTGACACTTACATTACACTGAAAATTTAACTCCTTATTTACTTCATATGTACACCGACTTTCCCTGGAATGATATTGAATGTATCCACGGAGATTACCTTGTGTGTACTCGTTATGAATACTCTGTACATCTATGGTAAATGCACGGTTTATTCACATTGTAAGCATAACACAATATTTACGGTAAAAAATAATTTGAAAATAGTTATTTTGTCAAAATTTTAAGGAGATGAATAGTAATGTAGGTCTCATGAAATATTTTGAATACTGATCTTAGACCGTGTGTATATCGCCTTTACGCCGCATGTCACTATCGTATTTACACTGTGTGTCGACGGTAACTAAAAATGATTTCATGGAATTCTATTTAAAATTGTACATTTTCAATTTCTAACAAAATTTAATGAATATAACTAATTTCAGTGAATTTTCATTGTTTAAAGAAAACCTTACAAATTTTTCTTGAAACATTATTATTATTTTTATTATTTTAAATGTAACCGCGCGTACCATGTAGGTGCAAGTGGTCGAATAGGCTTGCAGGCAGATGGTCAAAAGTATACATTTTAGATGTGTACCACCTTCAGAAATTTTATACATTCGAATGCCGAGTAGCACGATAGTATATAAATCACTGTTATCACCTGTTAGATTAATAAAAAAAGCGAATGTTTAAGCATGATAATAGAATATCGTAACTTTTAATACCTAATTCACGTTGCGGTCAATCCAATTTTCAATTACATCAATGGAAGTTATCCAAAAATATTTTTCATAAGAATGTTAAAAGTAAGACAGGACATATTTTAAAATTACTATCTCATAGACGAACCACTTTTCAGAAAAATTTCTAAGCGTCAGTGGCAGTCGGTATTATAGATATTTTTTATATTTTTATTATCATAAGATAGCAATGGCGAATTAAATTTATTTAAATTTATAAGTGAATCGAAATGCAAAAGCAATATTCTATGAAGCTTATTAAATAAATTGAATGGATCAAAATAACTTATTAAAAGTGAGAAATCATTTAAAATGAAGAAAGTAAAATTTTATTTTTCTGTTAATGTTGTACATATATTTTAATTGTAATTGACAAAAACATAATTTTAAAAAAGTACTGTGTCATACGTTAACTATTTTAATTGTACGATTATGATTAAATTTGTATGATTACAACGTTATATAGAAAAAAGTAGTTTTATAAAAGTTTACATGCAAACTGCTTTAATATAAAAATAATTATAAGGTAAGAATTATAAGGTAAAATATAAAATATCGATACTAGTGACGCGAGCACGACAATATGGGCATAAAAGAAAAGCTTCTCTTTTTTCGACGAAATTCTTTAATAGCTGTAGAGCACACTGCTTTCCAATGGATGCATGATGGCACGATTTGATGATGTAGCTTAGTGCTTCATTAAAACGAATTGTGCAAATCAATCCGTGCGCAGTTGAACTCGAGCTATCGCGATCTACAAAATAAAAAGTAACAATTTGCTAATTGTAGAAATTTTCGTTGTAAAAATTGAGAAATGCATTATTTTTAACAAACTTACTGATTTTGTTGATTAATCGCCGAGCTCTTGAATGGTTTAAAGCCACGGGCTGGCGAGCAACAGGTTCGTCTCCAGGATTCATGTCGTCAGCTTCCTCACCTCCAAAGTTCATGTCATCAGCTTCCGCGTTTTCAGGGTTAATGTTAACAGGTTCCTCGTCTCCAGGGTTCATGTCGCCAGCTTCGCCGTCATCACGGTTCATGTTAACAGGCTCACCCTCACCAGGGTTAATGTTAACAGGTTCCTCAACTCCAGGATTCATGTAGCCAGCTTCGCCGTCATCACGGTTCATATTAACAGGTTCCTCAATTTCAAGGTTTTCGAATACTCTGGCCGGCACAGCTCTAACAGCCACAGGCACCATGTTTCCAGGAACTACATCAGCAGGCCGGGCAGCGGCAATATGCTCCTGAATTCCAACAGGCTGGACAACACGTTGCATTTGACCATGATTAATTATTACCGCACCGTCATGACGCATATGAAGAGCTATAACATACGATAATAAAAATAGAAATAATCTCAAATAAATTTATATATATATAAAAAGGCAAATGTAGCAAAGGCGGGAGTCAGTAAGACTTACTTGCTACTTGCTATTTGCTACGTTATACTCCGATTCCCACGTACAACCTGAGAACCTAAGAGCGGATGGACCGAGGAAACACCGCCGTCCCTTTTACGGCACTGGAAAAATGTTTTTTTCTTATGGATACACACATCTCTCATTCAAAAGCAATAGTAAAGTTTCCAAAACTTAACATAACATGTGGATATTTAGTCAACGGTCTAAGAATTTTATATCCATGTTATTTTTGCAAATTACATGACTGATAAATTGTTTGAATTACGGGATCGCGGGAATGCAACAGATCAAACTGAATGTATTTTTTAAAAACTTGAGGTTGTAACATCAGGGATTGATTCAACGCCCAATACTTTGAGAAAAATTTATTTAAAAGTACCGTCCAGGCCCGAATCCAACGTCGAATCAATGTTGTGTGTGAATGACGATATTTTAAACTAATTTGTATTGAATTTTACAAATTAAAACGCTGAAAGAGAACGACGAAGAAAGAAGAGCCGAAAACGACGAAGAACACCGCCATGCTGAGGATCCGAACGAGAGTGCCGAGGAAGCCGCAAGTACGAGCCTACGCTGTTGAGCCACGAAACCGAGCGAGACACCGAACGACGTAACTGCCCGAGAGGTCCGTGAATTGCCGAGCCGAGCCGGAGCAGAGTAAGGACTACGATGCCGTAGCTACGATGCTTAGATCACCGCCGATGACAGTTGCCCTGTAGTCAGTACTGCAGGAGCAGAGGTGACTATCAACTGTCGCAAGTTCCGCTGACTGTTATGCGGAACTTGATAAGTTATCGATTGGGATCAACGCTTTGGGGACGACGAACGCTTTGGGGATGACGGACCTGGAACTTCGCAAGACGAAGGGGATTCGAGACTAAACGATCGACGAGGACGGACACGCTTCCGCACGCTCCGCATCATACCGTCAGTTTATTGCGTAGTTTCCGTAAAATTTGAAACAGGATGTTTTGTTTCCTTTGGTCGCCCCTTTTCTCTTAAGGGCGCCACTGGATTTTTGTTCTCAGTATCCAGAACTGGACCAGAACATGGAGTGCTAGGTCAGGGTCGCGAGAGAATTGCTGAAAGGAGCTAGGATCAAAACACAGAAATTCATTTAACAAAAATTATTTATTTATCCACTCCCTCTTACAATTGAAATATGGCCAGTATTACAATATATAAAATTTCATGGATACAAATCCACACTCACACTCACACTCATTCGGTATATTTCTCGCTGTCCAGCTAGACCCTCACGTGGTTGCAGTTCCCGATGCCTACTGGAGTCTCACGGTACTCTATTTACTTCGCGCCGTCCCCTGGACCTTTAACGCTACTCTAACTTAGTTCGCGCGGTCTCACGGACTCTCACGCCACTGAGCTGGACCTCTGACGTGACTGCACACGTTGTCCACACAGCGCACGCTGTCCGCCAAACTTCACGCTACTCTAAGAGGACTACCCGAGCTGGATAGCCTCTTTACTCGCACACAAACACACTCTAATCTAATTCCCCCATAAAATAATAATAATAATAATAATAATAATAATAATAATAACGCTTGAATTACAATTTACAAATAACTTCCAAAATATTATTTTCCTAATTACTATTTCTAAAATTCCGGTTATCATTTCCCGAATTTCAAAATACAAATAACAAATTCCTATTATCTAAATGACTCTTTTAAATTTATCGAGGATTAAATCCATTTTGTGTCCGAGTAATTTATTAATTAAATTTGATCTTTATAAATTCCTGTTTGAGTAAACTTAAATAAATTCCTGGTTGAGTAAACTTGAATATTTTCCATTATTTAATTTAATCCATATTATATTATTCCCAGCTATTTTATTTAATCCAATATCGGCGGTAATTTTACTAGATTTATTTTTCGACGCAAAAGTTAAATTTAGACATGAGACTATTCTATTGTAATTTATTATGTGTTTCTTAAAACTTAATATTTTATTTTACTTGACATTATTTCATTTCAAACGAACAGAGACTTTAGTTGCGACCTTGAATGACCTCTACTTATAGCATTTCTCGCACGGACAAGATGGCTGACGCTCTCGCTCGGTCTAGCGTCTTTGTCGCACAACTCAAGTAATTTTTTTTTCTGACGCAATTTTTACAATTTTTATATTCTAATTTCCTTTTTAGAATGTTTAAAATATTCTTAGAAAGAAAGAAAGTTTACCATTTAGTGGTAAACATTTTCTTTCTATTTTTTTTTCAGAGTGGTATAACGAAAAACAAACATTTAAAAAAAAATTTTTTTTTTCATTAAAAAAAAAAATAGAAAAAAAAATTTTACCACTCTGAAAATTTCAGGGAATTTGCAAAAAATACTGAAGTTTTTTATAAAAAAGAAAAATCGAAAATCAAAAATGTCAATCATTCCGAAATTTTCGTTTTTTTCCAAAAAGTTAAAAAAAAACATTGAATATGAATCCGAATTATTATTTTTATTTTTTTTTTTT